ATAGAGTTCTAGAAAAGAACACTAACTCAACTTGTACAGTCTGTACAAACCATAGAGTTGAAGAAAAAAAACACTAACTCAACTTGTACAGTATAAAATAATTTCTCGCACGGGGATGATGTAGGACACAAATTTGATTTGCGCCGCGTGAGATTGGACGATTTCTTTATTTTTTTTTTTTCTAGATATGTCAATACATGTCTAATGTATCAGTAGGACAGCCTAAACGAAGTGTATAAAAAAATCGATGCAAAATGATCAGGCCTATTGTACAGTCTGTACAAACCATAGAGTTCTAGAAAAGTACACTAACTCAACTTGTACAGTCTGTACAAACCATACTGTAGAGTTCAAGAAAAAAAACACTAACTCCACTTGTACAGTCTGTACAAACCATAGAAATCTAGAAAAGAACACTAACTCAACTTGTACAGTCTGTACAAACCATAGACTTGAAGAAAAAAACACTAAGCCAAGTTGTACTGTACTGTACTGTACAGTATAGTGTGTACAAATCGTAGAGTTGAAGAAAAAAACTTTAACTCAACTTGGACTCATTTTGCATAAATTACTTTATACTGTACATTTAAATGATCTGGGCTTTTGTACAGTCTGTACAAACCATAGAGTTGAAGAAAAAACACTAACTCAACCTGTACAGTCTGTACAAACCATAGAGTTCTAGAAAAAAAACACTACCTCAACTTGTACAGTACTGTAGCCCTGATCATTTTGCATAAATTACTTTATACACTTAAATGATCAGGGCTAATGTACTGTACAGTCTGTACAAACCATAGAGTTGAAGAAAAAACACTAACTCAACTTGTACAGTCTGTACAAGCCATAGAGTTGTAGAAAAAACACCAACTCAACTCTATGCTACAAACTCGCCACGCCAGAGAACCTGTAATTTGTAGTTCGGCATACTGTACTGTACAGTGTACATGTACTGTATTTCAAAATGGAAAATTTTGACACACTTTTTACACACGACTGTACAGTACAGTACAACGCAAACAGTACTAGATACTATAGTACAAACGACAAACCATTTTGTTTGACTTCTGACGACATCTGTTTTCGACACGTCAGTCAAGGAAGAACATGGTCAAGGACTACTGTAGTCTGCTTATATATCCAATATGATCCGCTTGCCTTAATATCAGCGTTTCGCCAAATCTTAGAGATGTTACAAATAATGAGTACAAGACTATTAGAACCCATTGGACAGCTTGAGCTAAGTTTGGGAATACATATTTCGTGCACACTGTAGATGCAAAGGCTAATTGAGCACGTCCAGTACAGTCGATTTACAGTTGCAGTATGGAAAATGAAGAGTACAGTACAGTACGTACTGTAGCTATTAGGTACGAATGCACAGTGTAACATGTGTACTCAGTACTGTACAGTACTTCGTGTACTCAAGCATTGTGGGACAATTTATGATTAAACACTTCAAGAAATTCTATTTTAAATTAAATTAAATAGTGTTATATTGTACACTGTACATACTGTACTGTACAGTACAGTATAGTACAGTATAGCAGAGTATGTACAGTACTCGTGGATAGGTGATAGGTTAAAATAAATAAATAAAATAAAATTCAAATTTTATGATTAGCCATACAGTACTGTAATTTTGTACAGTGTCCATGATACATACTGTACATAGTCACTGTACTGTACTGTACAGTCAGGGACTTCTAAGACTAATATCGAAGACTAAAAATAGTCGTCATAAAGTCCCTGGTAAAGTCTACGTCTGCCTATACTTTTCTGCTTCAACCGTTTATTGGATGTTTCAGAATACTGTACGGTACTGTACGGTACTGTAAAGATAAAAATTATTACAGTATTACAGTACAGTAATTTGTACTGTGCATTGTACTGTACAACCTATTATCACTGCTGTGCAATAGTAAACAATGCCATTAAATAAATACAATATGATTGGCTAATTTTCTACATCCAGTCAAAGAAAGGCCACAAAAGAAGAAAGACCAGATTCGACCCTCTATCGCTTCTCAAAGTGCCGCCGCTTTCTTGATCGAAGGATTTGCCTACTGTATTGACTCTCCAACTTTTGGTAAGCTCTTATTATGTTTTATGTTATCTTATTCTATTCTATTAGTGCCCTCCAACACTCAATGTTATACATGAATTGGCAGTAGCAATGATATATAGCAAATTCATCATTTTGTATGCAGTCTACAATCTAAAAGATAGCATTATCAGCACATGAATAAAAAAGATTGATCGGTATTGCCCTCCAGCTCTTCAAAAATGAATCATCTGCTGATGTTGTTTTCTACCATGGCTGTAAACGTTATGCAAATTTTCCAATCAAAGCTCGACCTGTACATCGTACCATGCATTCAATCGATTAGCCAATCCAATGTTGTTCTGTTGTATCAATCGCAAGAGTAAAATCATTTTGTCGGTCTGATCTGTCTACCATGGCGATATCGGCAACGACTGTTCTGTATATCATTCTGTAATAACTGCAATTCCAAGTCGTGCCAATACGAGTATACTCTCATTAGACTATATAGTTTATTCTCTTCCGTAAAGTGAATCTAATCTTGTAATCGTACAAGCACGATCTTGACGATTTTCCCAATCGGGCCCAATCAGTATGAATAATTGGATTTTATCGAACGACTGAAGACAACAAGGAGTGTGCAACACATACTGTACTATCGAATAAGCATGATTCTCTTCAGTCAACACATATTGTTCAAGTTGGTGGCATTCCACGCTCTAGAGATTTCTAACGAAAGGATTATCAACACGTAAATTATACTGTACAGTACTAAAGTTACTATGATGTATGGTATTTTGCATACTTTCATATTACCAATCATGGACTACTGTTGACAGTATCAATCTTGCGTTACAGTATTGTACATTGCCTTATACCGTACAGTATACTGTACGCTGTCAGGTCTAGAGCAGATACATGATGGATCTACAGTAGGTAGCAGCTCGTCTATCGATATACAGAAAATCAGGCATTACTAAGAGATGAAATAAAATCATCAAATATTTCATGCTGCAAGGAAACCTACTGTAGGTCATCTTTCAACGGTGGTCGTCAATCAGACTAAAATTGGCATGCTGCAGAAGTTAGGATATATCTAACTGTCGTGCTTGTAGTGTTGGCAATACTCTGCAAAGTGCAAACAAATAACAGCCAACGCATTAGCACGGAACTAACTCCAAACTATTGAAATTGATTATTTTGAAAACTTCTAATAAGATACAAAAAAATCTATTCATCTAGTGGTCCATGTCTTACTGTACCATCTATCGACTATTGCATAATGCATTTCATGTAAAATTCATTTTTATTTTTTAATCCTGTCCACGTTTCAGACACATCAATGGATGTGCTACTATGCAGTACAGTACCTCACATCGGTATTCTACAGTATGTAAAATGAAAGGAGCTGCTGTCCAATCCAGCCAGTTGCTGAAGGTGGAGTTTTTACTCTAACCAGAGTAACTGCTAGTTACTAAAAAACGACAGTACATATTGCAAAGAGAAAAAATAGCGCAACGAGCGATACTCTAAAAAAGTAATCTACTCAGTGTAAGATACTCTACGAGTGGATGTACAGTATTCTTTAGGAACGATACCGTACTGACAACGATCATTTTGAAATATTTTACCGTCGATCAGAGTTGCTTGCTGAGTGAGATAAATTCCGGTATACTACTTATGATTTTAGATTAGTACTCAAACGATTAACCCATGATTTTTTCCGTTAAATCAGATTTTATTCTATAGTGGTTTTCATACTAGGTGATCTACTGCATACAAGTGCATGACAATACAGCCTTCGAAAATTAATTCAATTAATTAATTTTATATGATAATTTCCTTATACTTACAAATACGACTGATCCCCCCTACCATACGTTGATATATGGTTCAAGAAGAGGTTACGTAATGCAGTAATGTATTACAGTACTGTACTGTATTAACTTATCCAAATTGATTATGGCGGTAATCAATTAGGCACAGTGTACAGTATACTGTTATTTCAATTATATCCAGTACAACTCTAACGATTTCATACTGTTCTAGCGTCTAACGTTAATATGACTTAAGTTGTTAGCCGTTAGAATATCAGTGCATCCATTTATTTCTCACTGTAAATTCCATGGACCGATTCCTGGTGCGAGATTGTAAAGGCACCGCATCTCTGACTAAAGCATGACAATAGTTGAAGCAGTGGAATCAACTAGAAAGAGATCGTTGAAAATGATGTTATTGTAAAGTAATTGATCGCAAATTCGTAATGTCAAATAGTTATAGTAGTCCAAATTTATACCAAGTCCTATTGTACCCTCTTCTTAGCAAATTATACTACTGACTGTGAATGAATGACTGCAAATATGTACCGCAGGGCGCATTCCCCTTAATACGCCAAGAAATCTCTACAATAGGCACGATCATAATATTGCTGCTATTGCAAAAGAGTGTTCTCAGTGCTATTACTGCTATATACGTTAACAGAGTTGTTGACCAATTCAATCGAAGAAACTATCGTCTTATTGAAGCTATTTCTTGCGTGAATGTCAAAATCGATGCAATAGAAGCCTTCAATTTTATTTCAGTTCCGGTAATAGAAGTAGCAAAGTACTGTAGAGTGTTGTATATGGTACACGCTAAATTCATCATATTTATGTATTACTCTATTCTATCAGGTGTCTAATACTGCGGCTATTACACCAACCTCTTTGTTCTCGCATGCGTTATTATTCCTCCAAATTGATTACTAATATAAGTGTATGCATATCATTTCCTGTACCTTTTATGTCTATTGTTTGTCGCCATCCATATAATTGTGCTATACTGGACGGTGGTAAATTTAACGCGATCAAAACAACATTATTAACAACAACCACGAAATAATTTTATTGCTGAACAATAACTCCCTCTGGTGTGCAATAACCGACGATAGTGCGAAATCTCAATAACGAAATTAACCATGAGTAATAAACCAGACAGAAGTGAAGTTAAAAGCTTCGACGTCAGCAAGCTCAAGCATATTGAAACTACGGAAAAGAATCCTTTGCCATCGTTTACAAGTAAATAACTGTAACGATGATGATTGTTGGAATTGTATTATTCTTTGCATACGAATTTAACCTTATTTCCTAATAGCAATAAAATTCTTTCGCCAAAGTTTATTGCTGCCTTTTCGTGAATAATTGTATTGAATATTATTATAACTATAATATTGTAGCTATTGCTCAAGAAAGAAGCGAAAATCGGCCTGAATTAAATGCCGTGAAAGAATTTTCAAGGCAAAAACTTCAGCACGTAGAAACTGAGGAAAAGAATCCCCTACCAACAAAAGAAAGTAAGTCTGTAGCAACTTTGTATACGTTCAAGAAGTTACTGGAGTAACCGTAGATCGCCATACACAGTATAATCGGGATATGTAGGTCTTGGTTAGTTTTTGATAAGATCTCGTCTGAAAAAGTCTAAAGTAAATGCAGTATCTACTAAAGTTAACCGTAATATTTCTATTTCTATACTGTAGTATAGTAATATCTTAGACAATACTGGTGTACACTGTACAGCATAGCTAAATTCTCAAATTGATGGTTTACTGCATTTTGCGTAGCGTACAACACTATAGACTGCAGTATATCGAGTAGGTTTACTTCGTATCTACATGCGTATGAGCTTGAAATGAAGACGTTTAATGTCTTAACAATGTTACCTTCCTGCTGAGTTTTATACAAGACATTCTACAGTTATATGTGGTAACTTAAATACGACCAACTCCTGGGAGATCGAGTTATTTCATATATACTCGTACAACTACTTCTCTACGTTAGATACAGTTTTAAATAGTATTTTACTCATCATGACCATAAGGAAGTAGCCATACCTCCTAATCAAGACGAAAAATTTAGTTATGCGCTTACTTGTAAATTACTATTACTTATAGTACTCAATTGCATTATCGAACGTTTTATGGAGTAATCATTATGTTGACAATAAATCGACCTCCTTTGAGTTTTAAATTAACTTTCCTTGATATAGAACATAGTAATCGTGCTGTTGACCTTAAAGTTGCGTAAATTCCTATATCATTTTGTAGTACATTTTCAGTTCTTGTAGTCACTCTTAATTAAAGCCTATTGTAATTTTTATCTTGATTTTTCTACTAAAATTGTACTGATAACATATTTAATATATATGTACTGTTTATATTCTTATTATAGCGATTGCGCAAGAAAAGTCCGAGTAATTGCTTCGATTACATGAAGCTATATAGAAAGCTGTTTTATTAGTCTGCACTTGATAATTTAATTACTGCAGCGTAATTTTCGTAGATTACTATTCCCTATTCATGTTAATCGACATTGATATGTAAGTGATTCCCTTACCAATAAAAACTAATAGATCTAGCTACTGAAAAGATATTTGTTTGCACTGTTTATGTGTTAGCTTGGTTAACATGTTTGTTATAAGCTGTCTATTACCTAAAATGAGTGATTTACCCACAGAGTCTGATTACACGTACGAGGGCACGTATTGATATCGAGATATCAATCAAGATTTCTGTTCTATAAGCAACTGATCCGCTTGTAGTAGAAAAATATGCTCGATTGTAACCTGTAAGTAAATAATTATAACTATTTTCAAGGTTGTAATACACTTTACGTGATATCAGTATTAAAATGGAAGATGTTCTGCGTGCTAAAAAATGTAAAGCCCACTTTTTCTAATCCCTATTTGATAGCGTTAGGTATTCCCCTAAAGAAGTACGGTAACCTTGCACTGAATACCTTATCTTCTAACGAGCCTTACATAAATATTAGAAGAAATGATCAAATGCATTCGTGACAACTACTTTTAGATGCAAACTGAACTCAGCAATACTTTTACTGAAGAAGTAGAATGTAGTTAAAGTTACTATATGAATTTAAATCAAGCCTTCTGTCCCCCCCCCCCGTATCATCCTAACTTCGGGAAGAGCGACTACTGATTGCAAGAGTCTATTATGCTGTGCTTAGCATCAGCAGTGACAACAGAGGTTTGATTGTATCAGTCTGATAAGTTCGTTTACAGATATTGTTGAAAATAGCATACATCAATACCATGTCGAAGAAATCTACTTGCTAAAGAGCTAAATTTTGGTGAATATCACGTACACATGGTACTGAGATTGATTTACTACAGTCTTATTTGTCTAATAGCATTCAGCAAATGGTGCATCTAGCTCGATAAAGCTCTGCATATAGTTCGCATGATCTTTATCTACTGTCTCATACTGTACACAATTATTCGAGAATAGTATACGGGTATCATGTTAGTAGGAAAGCTTCAGATAGTTAACATAGCTACTCAAATAGAGAATTTTTCTAATACTATATAAAATCATACGTATAGATAGCCGAATCCATTCCATCCAGGTCGCCACATATTGTGTGCACAGTCAGTTGTTCTGAATATTTTAGCATGATTCAGAGTGAATGCTATTAACGCAGTATACCTTATATCATAACGTAATATACAACAGTTGCAGGCATAATAATATAATGATAATAATGAAGAGTAATGTCCGTAGCATCTGCCATTTGGTGTATACGTTGTACAAGATGAATAAAAGAAACAATGACTCGCTTCTCTTCTGCCAATATTATTGTTGGAAGGCAACTTTACTTAATTACCAAGAATGACGACAATCAAATCACAATTGTCATGTTGTTAATGGATGAAATATATTAATTTTCTATGATCAGGTTGAAGAGATCCACTTTTCTTCATGACGAGGAGTATGTGCATCGCATAATGCATGTTGCTGCAGTGTCTTTGCAGCTGATGTAAATTTGTAGTGTCCACTAGTAAACTATCATAACAATGAGTTGGTTCTAGTCGTCATTCGTCATCGTCTAATCATTTAATGGTCCTTCGTAAAGGCCCTTTAAGTATTTACTACTTTTAAGATCTTTGCAGTGCGGAAAGCTTCTAGAGAGACGTAGTTGAACACTAAGTGCTATATTATTCTTAAAGGGCGCACTACATTTGTAAGATTTGAGTATTAAATATAAATATTTACATTCACGAAAAGTACCGTAGTCATTGCAGAATGGAAACTCTCTCTGAAGTGAAATTACCGACAAGTGAAGTTACAAATTTTAATAGCAGCAAACTCAAGCACGCTGAGATTGCGGAGAAGACTGTACTGCCAATAAGCGAAGGTATGTAACTGTTAAGATATTAGATGTTACTGTGAGCGTATTATCATGCTACTTTTTAGAAGCATTGTTTTTAATAATTATAATTATATTATTATTAAGTGATGGCGATACGGCACTACTACTGAAGTATATGACAGTATTGCCCTTTCTAGATATGTAATTTAATCCAATTTTACTGCAGTTATTGAAGAAGAATCAAGCATAGATACTGCACTTGAGTCTTCAATTAAATTTGCAGCCATGTTATATAATTTACATGTTCAAAAAATGAGCATTCAGCTACAACCTGTTGCAGATCAGGATTAAGTAACATTTGAGACTAAACAGGATAGTTAACTTCATCTAATTAATTTAATCTTTTTCGGTAAATTTTATATTTGATCATTAAGCCTGGCTAACGTGAACGTAAATTTTCTTAAGCCATGGTTAAGAACAACATCATTTAGTTAAAGATGGACAAGCAATTATAATTAGAGGCAATTCCGCAAATTACGGTACTCTCTATCAACAAGTTTCGCTAGCATTAATGTAGCTATTATAATCATTCAAGACTACTATTTGGGCAAAATTCATTGAATTCCTGATCACATAATTACAGACTTTCAATTACTCCTTGAAACAGTATACAGCACTGTGCTGTATTGGAATCAGCCATTTTTAAAAGTTGTAGGCGGCCTGCGGATTCTTCTGACCTTACGTCCAGTCATAACAATTTCTAGGGAATACTACTTCATAAAAAAAAAATAACTTTAGTATATTGTAGATAATTCTATAATTCTATTCAATAACTTGCTACACCAAAGCATAGCGAATTCCAATCTCTTTGTAAATCTCTCTATTACACTCGTATATGAAATGCTTTTAATGTTTTATGTTTTTGTATTCCACTTTCTATGCCTCGTTCGGCCCATTGTCGCCATCATTGTGCCATACTGTAAGTACACGAAACGTTCTGAAAAGGGGAGCGATAAAGCAAATGAAATGGGGTTCAATATAGACGTATTAGATAGCTATTTAAGGTTAAAAGCTCATCACTAAACAGTATCTTACTCTGGTGCGATAGAAGCAAAGGCACTGCGTGAATCCGAAAGAAAAAAAATTTAATCATGAGTGACAAACCTAATATTTCTGAAGTTACGAAATTCGATAAATCCAAACTCAAGCACACTGAAACTTCGGAGAAGAATCCATTGCCAACAAAAGAGAGTAAATAACTAACTCTAAAAGATATTGAACATTGAAACCATATACTATTTTTTCGATACTAATGTACTGTTCAGTGATTGTGATACAGTTTCCTACTATAAAATGGTGTATTTTTTTCCCTAGCACAATTTAATTCAATATTATTATTATAATCACAACATTATAGCTATCGAACAAGAAAAAACAGGAGGTTTGTAACGATCTTTTATGTGTAGGACAAATTATTAGTTTCACCGTATATCATGAAGCTTAGTCGAGATGTTTACTGCACTAGGTCAATTTCGATAAAGCTTCATCCGGATAAAATTTGAACACTTTAATTATTACAGTGACTATTAAGATTTGTTGCAATTTCAATTCATTATCATCCATATCTGCGTATATTAGAATGCACCGCAATATGCGTAACCAGTACTTTTAGCCTTGCAGTCCTCGCATTGAAACATTTAATTTAATGTATTGAACAGTAGTATATTTCTGTCCAATCTTGCCCAATTTAAAAAAATTTCATCACAACTTTTTCTTCACTGTATTCGCATCTGGTTGTTGTGTGATTAATTAACGTAAGATTCTGCGGATAACATTAAATCTCCAAAACGAGTGCCTAATGTAAAGCTTTATACTGATCGATCGCGACAAGTAATTAGTCCAGTTATAACTTCTGATATTTGATCTATTGACTAGGATCTGGCAAGAAATAGGATGTGCTAACCAACAGGTTACAGTAAATAACTGTAACAAAGTGATATTGGTACCATTTACGGCAAGGCATTTATCCAATATACGCGTATACTGATTTTCAACTGCGGATTCATAGTATTAGAGCTCTGCACAATATCTTTACGATTGATTTAACGAGTCTCTTTTTTTAACTTTAAAATTGCTTAGCCTGCTTGCAACTGTCAGGATGTAGCGATAATGCTTTTATAAAGTAGATGATAGTTCTAATTAATCTCGATTTACTACTGTGATTTAGAATGGTAAAAACTCGTGTAATACTGGTATCATCTTACTTGATTTATTAATAAACGCATTGGATCCAGCTGCTTAGATTATAAATAGATTAGTCGATACTTGTTAGTTTAACTACTGACTGCGTAATGATTTTTATTGGTTACTTTTCCATTGGCTAAAATAGCCTATGCTGTAAAGGAGACTCTGATAAAAAAAAATGAGAAATTCCACCTCCAAATATACTAATGTCAACGCCGTTGAAATTTGTCTGGTGTTTAAGAACGCATCCTATGTAGTAATGGTACCGCTTTAGAAGGAGTCCAATAGAGTGGCTGATAGCTGAAGGATAGGATCTATACAGTAACTTTACGGTATGTTATATCTTGATATTGGTAAATCGCCTTCGGCGATTTCTGTATGTGAATTCATCTGCACTATCTGTTTTAATTTACCACCACGGCGGTAAAGTATTGCTACTAGTTACTTCTACGCGTAGTACAATAGATAGATATGGACAAGGCTGTTTACAAAGTTAAAACCTAGTGATCAGTTGATGATATTGGTGATGAAATATTCTTTGACTTTTCCTGCGGAAAAAGCAAATTCATATCGAGTCAATTTGTGCAACATGTACATTTCTGAAAATAGTTCGTTTCAGGACTGCTACGGGCTTAGGAATGAAATGTAAAGTGTGTTCAGAACTTTAGATATTATATTTTAATATTACAATTTTACATTGAACAGATAGATAATCGACTCTTCATGATTAGAACACTAAAAAGTTCGGATTTTTAAGAGTAGAACTACTATCCACATTAATTTAGCAACGATACCGTTTGTTGACGTGTATAAAAGCCTCTCGTCTTTAATTCAGCTATAGCACATAGGCAAATCATTATGTAGTAAATGTAGATACTCATAAGGCATGTACGTATACTTTTCACATTTTATTCTGTATTGTAAATTTGTGAAGAATATATTTTTTCAACAACATTGCGAAATCACCTAAACCACAGTACAGTATGTACACTATGGCTGCTGTGGTTATCTTAGTTGCTACGCTATACAGTGTTAGCCAAAATACAAATAACTTGAAACTTTTGGAAATCTTTTAAACGGCGCCATATCAAGCTTATAGAGTAATATAATATCGAAGAACAACGCTTTAAGAAAGAGCTGCTAAGGATTCCAGTAGTATTGTGACCACCCTTGCAGCATTGTCATATTTATAATCGATCACTACTGTAGGCTACGCCAATACTATCACACAAAATAGTCAGCTAAAACAACTACTTTTTAAGAAAATTGACATTTTATAAAATTCGAGACGTTAAGTAATCGCGATGGCTAGCTACATATCTCGTATTGATCGATAACTCAACTATTGGAGCAAACTTTAGAAAGATATCATTTTCAGGCAAACCCCGTTCGTTGAGAGTTACTTCTAAAATCGTAAGCTAATATATGATGTAGACAAACGATGATGTAATCGCAAAATACGCGTCGATGTGTTATCTTCGCAGGGATAATCAATATCTATTACCAAGATTATAGATTTACAACAGAGTATTTTATCTTAAGGGTAAATCAACTGCAAGAATTGCTTCAAAAGCTATCTCTCCATTCCCTACTTTAAATAGGGATTGACGATATTTTGAATAAACCACTTATTAGAAAACTGTAAATGATCGCCTTCAGTTTTAAGAAAGACCAACTTTTTGGCGTGATCCATGGCCTTCAATCCTAACCAGTCTTCCTTATATAAACGACTTTGTTGGAGAGTGAAAGTTTCCGAAGTTGAATTTTCTTTATAGAATCCAAACCATTCACTTGCTTTAGGCTGGACAACAGTATCATTCTCAAATTTAACCATGACGAATTTGGATAACTTCATTAAATTCTTTTTATAAGTAGCATTGATTCCTCTTTCCTGATTAATATCAGCTAAGAAAACACTTTTCTGCTTATATTCTTTCTTATTGAGAGGATCTTGCCAATATTCCGCTGGTGTTACATTATCTTGAATAAATGGTACATAAACACCTTGGTTCAGAAGTTGTCGTAATAAATTGCATAATTCGCTGGAATTACCAGGACAACGAGGGAAGCCATAAACACCTTGATGTTGTCCTCCAATGGAGATGAAATTACGCATAGGCGGGTTAGGACAGCGTTGAGCTACTGCTCTCAGAAATTGTCCCCCTTGAGAGAATCCAACAGCATTATAACCGTGTTTTAACTTGGGATCTTTTGCTAATTTTTCACACACCATAGCAATTTGCTTATTGGCATTTAAGAAATATCCATTGAAGGTGTCCTCGAAAAAATTGGTGCCAATTTGTAGTGATCTGACATAGATGCCTTTGACATTGGATTCAATCACTTTTTGAATGCGCCCTATGCTCAGTGGGTTGCAGCAGCTGTCACCAAGGCCATGCCATAAGACAGCAGGCGTTGGGCTTGACTGTGTATGACAAGTTAAACCGAGCAAAATCCAGGTGATGGAGAAGAAAATCCTACGAGAGAGAAGCGCTCTAGCCATCTTGGAGGCTGTTGTTATTCTTTTTCATGAGTTCAGTGCAGAAAGGAGATAGAGTCCGAGTCATGTGACTGGAGTGAGAACCAGAAGCTTGAAGCACAGTACTGTACAGTACAGCATGATGTGCGGTACTGTACACTGTAGTACTGAACTGTACTACAGTAGAAGAAGATCTTGCGCAGTGTAAAGTCTTTCGCTGACAGTATTGGAACCACACCCAAGTGGATACGTTTACTCCATGATTGATTATGTAATGGAAATTATTTGAATTGAAACTCAGCAATTACAGTGTGGTATGCATAATAAATCATATCGTTATAAGCCATTTCAGCGATGTATTGATAGCTGTTAACAGATGCTGGATCGATCTAAGTATAGTGTAGAGTAAGACAGAAGTCTGCTGTACTGTACAGTGTACAGGCTGCAGTCGCTGGAGTGATCGTTCTTGGACGGACAGACACTTCCCACCTCCATATTGTGCCAAACTAGATTCTACGATGGCTCAATGCGTAAAGTCCTTTTACGCTCAGGTCCCTGTCATACAATCAGCTGGATAAGATCGACAATGTTATTGAAAGGAGTACCAGTAATTTAGAAAACAGATACACACGTTGCCGACTCAGTAATCATTTTTCGACATGAACGGGACCTCACTTTCCAGTTCGTAAAGATTTCCGTCCGTCTGAGGGTGCGATCCGTCCGGGTCTGCTTCTAGTAGTCTATGGTGCTGCACAGGTCAAAGTCAACACCATGTCCGGTCGTGCAACTCATGACCCACCCACTTGCTTTCCAAATACTCGAGCCTGGAAATACCTCTAGTTCAGTAGAGTACAGTATGAGTACGCACTCCACTTAGAGCACTTAGTTTAGTGGTGGCTAGCATTGGAAGTCAACGTCCGTAGGCGCATTGGATGAAACATTTGGCAGGCCGTTCAAGTTGAACAATTTGGGGGTTGAACCGATCAAATATTGAGAAGGAGAGCATCCAAGATATCCATATCAGGGACTCCTTGGGAAAGAAATTCTACCTAGTTGTATGTTGAGGAGTGATCGAATCGATCCAGTTAATTCGTAGAGCAAGAACTTGATGTTCAGCATTAGTGGGTAAGTAAAAAAGCTATTACCAACAGGCTCCATAATGCAATAGACAGAACTTCAAGCATTAGCGTTATGGCGGTTATGTTGAAGCTGGGTAAATAGCAATTTGATGGGGTGATTTTCATCGCCAGCCTCAACAGACATTCAATCCGTTCGATTATGAAAAGCCATTACTAGAGTAATGCAAGTTGAAATTTACTAGAAATGATCTGATATTGATGGGCTTACCGTTATGCTAATACTGTATTGGATGATATCGGGCTAGCATAATAAAATATTAATTGAAATAACTCTCAAGATACAGCTAAAAACAGCATTGGCTGTTCGATCAAGTCTTTAACGCTGCTGATAGGTCTTCATCGTTTCTTTCGTAGTCGCAAGTTACTTTACAACTCGTTCCCAATTCCACCATGGATGGTATTTACTCACTGTTCCAGACGTCAATGATCCAGGGATTAAATTCAATCGTCTCCTAACTACTTCAACATAAACTACATCCGCCATATTTGATTTCAACCTGTCTTTCCGTAACCGCAATAATTTCTCCTCCCATACAACAATACAACAACAATCACTTGTATCTGCTACTGCGTTTCTCTGTCAACTGGTACCTTGCATATTCTCGTTCATTTTATTTTATATTTCATCATGAGTGGTATGTAAAGAGCAATTATTGAATAACTACCATGGGACTCATCCATGTACTATACTAGCAACTGGAAAATTATCTGCCATCATTCATCATTGCCAAAAAATAACAGCGCTATCTTAGCATAGAATACACGCTCCCGTTAAAACCTTTCCAATACCAATACCATGCATTGACAGGATACACTTCATGAGTAATAACCCCTTGTCTACTAGGCTAATTTACCGTCAATAAACTTCAATCTTAAGCTAGAAAAGTAACTTGATTAGATCATTCATTGACTTTGACGCTCTCGCTGCCTACCTTGAACTTAAATTATTTAAATAAACGACTGCCCCAGGCCAAACTCCCTCACTCTTGATGACCTCATACTGTTCAAGCCTGTCGTGTTATGGATACCTAATCTCGTCATTTTATTGCAATTATTGACTCAACAAAAACGTGAACAATAACGTAGATTAAGATATCATACATGAAGTTGCTTACAATCGCCATCAGTCCAACTTGATTGATTTTATGTCTGTTTTTACCAACGTTTTCGTCCTCCTCTCAACCCAATTAAATCCACTCTGGAAATTTCAAATCTCTATTTTTTCACCTATTGTCTAAAAGTGGACGAGATTCGACCACGGTCGCCATCACCAATTAGTGGAATTACTTCAGTCGTCATAGAAATTCATTGAATATATCGATAATTAGAATAGGAGATAATGGCTACTAACATTCTTGTAATCGCTGTTGATTTGAAATACTACGACCTTACTGTACAGTAGTCTATGCAGTACTGCATTACTAAGGTTAATACGCTCCTTAATTCGATTATTGAATCATTTTTCAGCCCTCTTCAGTGAAGGAAGGAGAAGAAACTGTTTGATATTTACCGTAGCATTGCAAATTAATTGAATCACGGCCACTAATACATAATCAGGGATTCAGGGGACATAATCAAAAAATATTATTCCCATGCTTTGCATTCTTGGCTTGCCAAGTATTTGATCTTTTAACCGCCATGCATCTCTGTCATACCACTATCAAGTAGGTTATTGGAAAAATGTCCCTGGATAAGTATGGAAAAAGTCTTCAATTATTATTTAATTGCTCTCTACAATCGTAGACGTCTGCCAGTAAAATAAAGATTGGATGGATGGCTCTATTATTGTCTACAAACAAAATGAGACTTTAACTATTATCATACGCTCATTAATTTCTAATCGCTAGTCTGACTTGACTTTCAATTGATGTTGTCTCCGTATCGATTTATCCTAGCAAAAGTTCAAAGTGTCTGATAGGCTTTATAACAAGCATAAAGTACCCGTGCATTTCTACTTCCCCTTCTGCACAGTTGGATTCTTAAAATACTATCTTGAAGGCTGTAATAAAACTACATTGCACTGTATGTAAGACTTTGAAACATTTTTTATTTATTCAAAGTTACCAACATAGTAGATAATAAATGTTGTTAACCGCTAGTCACCTTTTGTCGATTTGATTGCCAAGACTATGGTAAATCTAAAGAATGGATTTTTTACTTAGCCCCTTGCCCTAGTTACGTTCCTTATGCAGTGTGTTCGATCGTTCTCATTTCTTAATATATATGGTACGTATATTAAGAATTAATTACCTTATAAACTTGATATGAAGTTTCAAATACACTTGACAAAAGTATCAACTAGCGAAGGTATTACTCTTTGTATAGTAGGAAATGGTTGGGTACTTGGGCCATCTTTTATTATTTTAATTGGAGGATGCTCTTCTTCTAACACTGAATCTTAACTCAATTCCTTGCCACTTTTTCAAAACGTTATTGCATCGACGTGTATCTCGTTTTTTTATTTCTCGTATCAAGTCAATTTTCTCACAATTTATTATTGATAACCTGCTTAGCCTAATAAATACTGTATATTCAATTCAACATTTAATATCAGTTCTTTATCAATCATTTTTTTAGGGGTACTAATATATAATCAATTAATTGTTAACTCCCGGTAATCCAAGTGAAATTTTATTACAAAAATCACTTCGGACATTTCTAAAGAAAGAAACTATATACGTATACTATTCATTCTTGTAACTCTTGCCATTGCTGTACAATATGGCTGCAACCGGTGGTATGCCTTTACTAAGTGGTAATATTTCTAAAGAACTTGCTGATAAGCTTAAAAGGAGAAGTGGAGCTGATCAATCGGTATGACCACTGTTTGTAGCTATTTTATTTTCATCTGTAATGATATAATGCACACAGCATACGACATTATGAATATACACTAGTATTATATATAAGTACTGTATTCAATATACCCACTTAAAAGAAGGGCTTAGAATGCGCCAACATTACACTGCACTATTTCATGATTGAATGTATAGCTAAACTGTTCGTAATAAGTACGGAATTGAATTAAATCGGACATAGAAAAGCATGCATCGAGTCTAGTATACTACAAATCGATTTGCACAGTGAAATACAATGAACGAAATGAAATTTACTGCATGGTATTTCATCGAATTTGACTCTATCCCGTTACCATAGCACTTAATGCAATCGAGTAAATTTCTTGCTTAGTAATCCTACGAACTCGATCCTTCAACCGAATAATAAAGCTAAATTTCCAATGGTTTTAAACTCATCATTTGTCTGTAGAATTTTTTGAGAACAGTTTCGTTACTTTACACGTATATCTTATCCTGTAATTTTATATTGGAACTCGAAGCAAACCTTAGTTATTCCGATAGTAGGGTATACTTATCAGTAAATGACTTCTTTTGGGGGATACATACTATTAGGAACAACCCGAATCACCAGTTGGTGAGAAATCGACACCACCATCAATTGCTAAGAAACCGATCGGTTTTAATCCACTGCTTGGAAAGAAAATGCCAGCCCAAAATTCCTCACCATCAAATGAAAAACCGACTCCACCAGCTGTTGCAAAGAAACCGATCGGATTTAATCCGATAACCGCACAAAAAACACCAAATCGACAGTTTGGTAACGATATAGCCAAAGAATTAAATGCCAAGCTTAAAATTCAGAGCCCATTTGCAACTCCTCCTAGAGGAGTTAAATTACCGATTCAGGTTGGAGAAATTCATTTTTTGGCTGTAGTAATAAAGATGCCTTAAATGCTTTGCCCTAAGTTGTTTTATTATTGACGTCTAAGAGTAATAATTCTTTTATAGACTATGAGACAGAATAGCGATGGAGGAACGCCGAATAAATTATTGAATCAGCAAAAACAAGGTAGGTCCCAAAATAGCAGAATCACTTCTAAAAGGGATACAGTAGTATTCCGATTTTTAATGATCCACATTGTGATGTTATAGATCTTGCTACGCTTTTACTTGATATACCATAATGCTTTCAATCGCTGATGATCCTGTATTATGTGCTCATAATTTTTAGACGAGCCTGTACAGTATGACAAGGATGGTATGCCAATTAGTAGTTCACCTGTTCTGAATCATAGCGCTGCGCGTGATAGGATACGTGTTATGCCAAAGAAAAATAGAAGAGGCACTAAGCATCTAAGTCTCGATTTTGACTCTCACATGGATCAAGGGGAAACCAATGTCAGAGTTTCGAATAAGGATAAATCGGTTAGGGCTTAATTATGTACGATACCTGTAAATTATCAGTTGTATTTGCACTCAACGGCAAAGAGTAACAATAACTTTTTTCAACGAATTCAGAGAGAAGAAGGTCGAGATAGAAGATCGGTAGCTGTCTCTCCTACTGTTGATTATGCAATGGAAGTTGATCAGGAAATTACGGTTAGTCATATCGTATCAGTATTTTCAATGTTACCACTTGAGATAAATAGACTTGTGATAATAATCTGTAAAGTTCATTTTACTGGTTTTATATCACTTATTTGTTTTTTTCGCGTAGATATCCAAAGTATCAAAAGATATCTCTAAAAAGACAGATACGAAGGACAATGCTAATACCCTTCTAACTGAAACTGAAGACGACACTGAAGAAATGTTTGTTTAAAAATGTTTGATTTTAATAATTTTATAAGTAGTAGATATTAATATACAGTAAACTACCAGATATTCGTGAATTAGGCTGCACGACTCCATTGTATTATCAATGGCTATTATAATTACAGACATCGAAATTATGTTTTCCTTCATACCGTTTTATTGATGAGATTGAGTTAATTGTAAATGTGCACAATTTAGGGCACAATGCTTGAGAAAAATGTGATGAAGTTTATTCCATTGATATCCATGAGCAATAGCTGACGAAACTGTATGCATAATATAACAATATTATCGATTCGCAAGTGACTGCAATGTATCCTAGCGTAATTGAAACCTGAATTGAGATGGTCAATACGCTGGTTAAGTTATTATTTGCCCAACGTATATTAATGTAAACCAAACTTTAATGTGTTTATTACGCAATTAAACAGAAACATGCTTAAAGAGTTTGTTATTTGTGTCTAAATTACAATTACTGCACTCTACTGCTATCTTCCTATTCTTGACGACTATTAATTTTGTTATTAGACTTATAACTAATGTAACCTTTGAAATTCAAGTACATACCATAAAAGAAAACGATTTTATAACATAACCCAATTGTGATAATATTGTGTTTATGATTGATCTAGTTCGTCTATGTTAGAACTAAGATAAAACAAAGGCGATAAGCATTGTTATCATTAATAAGAAACAAGGCAAAAAGGTAAGGTATTGGCTTAAAACGGAGCTACACTTATTTCAATCAATGGGAATTTTGCTCAGGCAATCGTTGCGTTGATCATACGAAAATATGTTGTTATGCAAAATCCGTATATACTATGCAAATGCTTGATTGATTTTATTCAGTTGAACCGAATTTTGACTATCATACAATAAATTTATACATAGGGTCTTGTGCAATAGATGTAATTTGGCATTATGGAGATACGCATAAATAATCAAACAGATAAATATAGCATATTAATATATATATATAATAAAAAGGTGTTTGTACATCAGTATGATTTTACTTCATTGCGTTATGGTCGCAATCCTTTGGGCTTACGTAGCTATTCTTCTCACGGTATCAAAGTATTTATGATTTCTTCCCGTATTGTATAACCATGGGCTTCCCTTTCAGCTTATATCCATTTACTACATCTAGTGCTTTCCCCGCAGTAGCTACATCTAATTTTGATAGGTTTGACATTATTACGGAATGTAATCAAATAAGATTTTATAAAGATAATCAGAGTTTAATACGTCATGAATGAGTAGTGTCTATCGTTATACCTGAAAATGTTACGAACGCTTGACCTTTCATTTTGCCTTTCATTAACCGAAATCGGATATTATCTTTACTGTCTTCTTGAAATCCTATAAAGGTCATGACTAAATCTTTCTCATTGACTTTATCACTTAAATTTTTGATGTAGAGCACCTACAATTGCCCAAATTTTATATAGACGTCAATGCTTTAACTACGGAATATTATATATGAATAAAGTAAGTTATATGGGGAAATAGATTAGTACCTTAGAAGGTTCTCCCTGCTCATAATGAGCAAATCTTGCCATAGCTCTTATTTCCTCAATAGTTATTCTATTCTTGATAATATCTTCTGCTTTTACTGCTTGCAAATTATCACGCAAGGTACCAGTACCGTAATTTATTCCCTTAGTTCTATATTGGAGTAAATAAAATAACTTGATCAACAGTTGTATGTCTATACAGTCTAAATATTCAGCTATGGTATGGTATAGCATATTTGAAGACAGAAAGTACTCGTTGTCGTTTTGCTTTATAAAAAATAATTCTCTGAAGCTTTAGTGAGTCATACAATGTAATATTCTTGCCTTGTTTCGTCTTTCGTAGATGGAGAACTACTCGGTTGATCAATAGTAATTTCTACTTTGCACGTTGCATCGTCAATTTCAGAAGATACGGGTAATCTTGTTTCCTCGTCGTTCAATTCTTTGCACTTGCTATTGGAATTGTTACCATCAGTAGTGCTTATAGAATGGTTCACGTTATCCACTGTAGCTTGTAATATTGCATTTGATTCAATACTTTCTGGTCTTAAAAGATGACTGAACATTGTCGCCTTCTCTGTACCGCGAATGATTGATTTTTCAATATCCATTAACTGCCTGCAACATACAGCAATGTAGAAATTTAAGAATCGGATGATATCCATTTCACATTAATATTATATAATTTTGGTCCATCATTCTGATAATGCTTAATTTTCACCTATTCATTGGTTTAGCATTGGTAAAACTATCAGGATGTGCCAGCATTGACTCTTTTTTAATTATCTTGCGTTCGATATTTTCTAGCCTGTCTCTAGCTATGCTTGGATCAGTACCGTATCTTTTCCGCTTTGTTGACTGAAATTGTGACTCTATGTTATCTTCTATTTTCCATCTACAATCGTAAGAATGAATGAGTATCATTTATGATAATCCGGTATGCACAGTGCTTGGTACCTTATCTCTTCTTCATCTAAGCCTTGATTTCTTAAAAAATTAGTTTGGTCATTTATTGACGATTTTACTTTATATTGATCCAAAGATAATTGTCCGCTAAATTCTCCCTGAGCATTATCAACGACTGTTCCACCGACAAAATCCCTACGTTGCCTGCCATCATGATGTATAAGAATTTGGCAAAATGAGTATGATTAGTATTCGATTACTATCATCTTCCATTTGAGAGCATTTAACCAGCTAATGTTTACAATCGCATGCATGTAGAAAGGCTTACCTTTTGACGTCGACGGACTTACTTAATTGCTTTTCCAGTAAATCATGTAGGAGTTTATCGGTTTCTGATTCAACGTTATCATTGGGAGGAGCTTCAATCCGCTGATCTTCATATGGTGTTGAAGAATCGCGAATCAAGCGAATTACCCCCCGGCTTTTATATCGCGTAGGATGACCACTTTAAAGAATGCACGTATCAAGGATCATGATGAGTAAAATAAGGTACTTACAGTAAGTCCAATTTTATAACGATATCTTGCATATCACTAACATTATGCTTCTTCATGAACGACTAGTATCTGATTTCATTTTTTTATAACGTCACCTATACAGTCCTTGTATGTATTGACTATGCTAGGGTAAATTATTACAGTATGATGTACTGTTCTATGTCTAGGCATAACTAGCAGTCATTTCCATTGCAATCTACTGTACTTACCATGGAATGCCGGTTTTTGCGTAGGATGTTGGATCTTCTCGGAAAGGTTTACCGCTCACTGTAGTAATGATAAAAGTATAGAGATGTGTTAATTGTGAATAGATTGGTGATGCAAAGTGAGTTTCTAAAAACGAGATGACTTCTACTATCGATGGGTATATTGCAATATTGGTTGGCTCCAAGGATGACTTGGATTGTTTTTGTTACTGTAAATAAGCAATCAATCATCCACTTGCAGTAACCTACAGTATAGGCAATCAACTCCATTCCAAATTGAGTATTGTAAGTAACTAGACGTGTTGCATGGAGGCCTTTGCTAAGCATTTTCAACATTTCAGGTTTACGCATGTAGAATTGCAACCTTGATCATTGTGAGCATGCTATACTAGTCTATTCCTGTCGAAGGGACTACACCGATTTGCAAAATGCTTGTACGAATGAAGGTCTGTGGTCATTACAGCACAGTACCTGTACTTCTTCACCAGTCGTCAAATAGTTTTGTCCAAGTACTGTCGTACTCAATCAAATACACTATTTTGACGTTGCCATTTCAATTCGACAACTATGACTATCACTCACCTGATCCTCCAACCATTTTGTTAGCATTGATGATGAAATAATCATTTACTTGTACAAATCAAGGTGGAAATTGTTGTGAGTTGGCGAGTTTGTTGATGAATTGATTTTACCCTCCGTAAGCTACAGTATACAGTACTGTACACGTACAGTACTTTGAACTGTAAGCTACAGTGCACAAAACCGTACTGTCTGTCAACTACAGTACTGTACTGTACACGTTCATCTGTACCTTACAGTACAGTACTGTACTCCAGAGTATTTTTTGTACTGTAGCTAGCGTTTTCATTTTGAGATATTTAGCGTCCGTCTGAAGATAATTTCCGACAAATGGCAAATAGCTCATACAGTACTGTACAGTACTAGACTGTACGACGATTTCTTGTACAGTTTCATCATGCTTTGTTTAAGCATTTCCTTACTTATGCCACTAAAAGACCAAAATCTCATTTGGCATTTCCTGTAGATTTCTATCCTATCTCGTTTAGGACTATTTATTGATATTTATGAATAGAAAAAAATTTTTATTTAGCATTTCTTCTAAACTCCGATCATTTTGTATTTATTATCATTCACCATTTTATGGTGAAACAGGAATGTCTGCAAGATTGAAACGTTTAAAAAATGTCTATAAAACTATTCTATCTAGTGGGAAGTACTTTATAGTTAATTGCTTAATTAATCATACATTCCTAATGATATATTGCGTAATTAGAATTAGTCTACGTACGATCTTTATAGCACAAGGGACTGAGGAAAGAGTGTTGCTAAGGCACAGCTAGAGGAGGAAATATTGACTTTTCTTATTGTTGCGTTGCTAGTAAATATCATCGTCGTTATAATAAGCAGAAAATCGACAATTTACACTAGTATCCAAATAGCAAATACTGTAACCCTTGCTTTTTATTAGAGGAAATTAATGTTCAGGTATTAATGTATCTTTTTATACCTTAACTATTTATTACATTACTCTCAGCTGAACTATAGCACAACAGCTCCTTATTAAATTAAGAAAGAGATAAGTTATGCGTTCAATATCGATAGAATTTGGAATGATAGAGTATATCATTTCTACTCTGCATGAAACAGCATTGTTGAAATTAGCAAACTGTGAGTAAAATGGTAGTGCTAAAGAGATTGTAATATCAGATGCCTCATACACATTAAACATAAGAATAAGCAAATTACAGAAAGAGCACCAATAAATTTTTGATGACAATAATGTTCATAACATAGCAGTCCTGAAGAGATTGTAATATTAGCTACCGTAAACACAGTATATTAAATATAAGAACACGCAAATTGCAAAAAGGGTACCGATATGTCTTTGATATCATGCATAAAACAGCAGTCCTGAAGATATTGTAACATTAGATATCCTGCATATAGTATATTAAGTATAAGGACATGCAAATTGCAGCTAGAGTATCGATATTTCTTGATAATGTGCCTAAAATGGCGATACGAAAGAATTAATTTTTAATATCAGATACCTTAAATGCAATGTTTTTAATGTAAGAACGTACACATTGCTGAAAGAATACCGATATATCTTTGATAATGTACGTGAAATGGCAGTACTGACATATTTTTTGATGACACGGCTAAAATAGCAGTGATGAAGAGAGTTTATGTCGTCTGGCATTATTTATAGCCTGACAATACCAGTTACCTTTTTCTATATTAAAATGTAAAAATTACCTTATTTTAAAAAGGATACCAGTATATCTTTTGATAATTCATTAGTATGCATAAAAATAGTGCAAGCACCCTATTTCATCGATTCACACCTGTCATCATCTACAATTACTTTATTTTAGCATAATTGACTATTCTACATGAAATAAATATATTTTACTTTAGTTATATACCGCGATATACCCTAAAGATATCTGTATATTTCCAATCATGCTACACTACTTTCCAATTGAAAAGATTCTACATTGGTTTTACTATTGCATTCTTGAATAATTTATTAGTGCTAAGCTAATATTAGAGCTCTCTTCTTACACTTTGCTCAAATGCCAAGTTGACTTGTTTGAGGATATTTATTGTAAGAAAGTGAGAAAAATTGCAAACTGATCTCTATAAACGTCTACTGAACGTCGGATAAATTGATGCACAGATAGAATGCAAAATTAGAGTGTATTCTGTTGTTATTATTTCAAACTGTATAAAGTGGTTGTATAGGTCGAAAAACAAGCTCGTTTTACTTGAACACTCTTTAAACATCTTAAATTCGATGGAGGAATAAGTCTATTGCATAAGAATGTACAATATTCTACGGCTGGCTTAATCGGTATACCTTTTCCAGCGTCTAGAATTTTATTCATCATTCAATGCCATTTAATTTACTACTCTTAACATCCTCAACATCAACAGAAAATATTACTATTAAAAAAAATATTGAAAATATTAGAAATTGCTAACATTATTAATGACCAAATGTTCTGCCATGATGAACCTGTGCAATACAAAAGAATAGTCGCATCAAAATGGATAAACAAGTGGCGATTCTTTCCATCCTTAACACCGACAGAAAATGTCGTTATTGAAGAAATATTGAAAATATCAGAAATTGCTGACATTATTGAAGAACATTTTGTCATGTGAGGCTCTACACTGTAGACTGTACAGTATGAAAGGACAGCCTTAATCATTCTATTCCAAGCAGGAATAACGCCCGTTATCCATAACTAATGATTTGAATTGATCTTTGTTTTGTATTTGTCAATTTAATTTTTGTAAGCGTCCGTTGCTAAAAGTGCTTGCATATATGATCATTGACTTTAATCATAGGATTTCAGGATACGCTACGCCATCTATAAAATGTCTGCTATCTTCAGCCAACTGTGAATTTTTAGCCAACAAAGATTTTAACTTTACTTAAGCTACGTGGACGGTTAATGACGACATTGATCGCAGTTATTATTGGCATAGTCGTCGTAATCAAACATCAATGTTGCTCTTAGTGATTTTACCAAATGCCATGCTTGGAAATACACACTTTAACACTTCAAAGAGGAAATATCTCTAATTATTCCTTGATTGTTTTATTGACTTATTAGCTAGTGTAAACCCGGCTACACCGGCATTTCTCTACAAAATATATGAATCTATTACTTCACATAAGAATATCTATATGGCATCTGTGTACACAGCCCGCGTAGCCGATCATTATCGCTCCAAATTTTAAAGCAGCTTCGTAAAGGTAAGCATAATTTTCCCCTCTTACTCTCCGTTTGGCTGTGATGGCATCACAAAAAAATCGGCTCATACTTTATGTATATAGATTATATTGTGAAATGATAGTCTGCTTTAATTATAGGACTGCATGATACGCCACACTATTCAAAAATTGTCTGCCATCTTCAGCCAACTGTGTATTTTTAGCGAAGGTTTTAATTTTACTTAAGCTGCATAGACGGTTCATGGTGACATTGATCACGCTTATTGGCATAGTAATTGTAATCAACTAAATCTATGTTGCTATTTAAGGTAATACTATAATATCAGTAATGTATTTTCCATGGGGAAACATCTCTAATTAATCCTTAATTGTTTTATTTACTTATTATAGCATTATCTACAATATGAGATCTCTTTGCAGGAGGAGAAAAGGGAAAGTGATTGTGAGGTACGGTAACAAAATTCGTTAACGGGACAGTTTTTAACCGTTAGGAACTGCAATATAATTTAGCAATAAAGTGTGGTTGACAAGTGTGGTCATATTGTCGGGGCAATGGCTGTTTGGTTTGGTATGAATTTAGAGTCATAGCGGATTTTCATTCTTGTATAAAGTCCAGTAAGCTAATACTGTATAATGCAATTAAGTTGTCCATGTTTATGATTTTGGGGCCGTAAACAATATAGTTGTAGATGTGGCTACATCAATAGAGTAAGGATTATCCTTGATTCTACAACCCGCCGTTGTAAAATTTGGTTCATGAAGCCCATCATCAACTCTAGTTTACTCCGACTCTTCCGTCATCAGTACTTGTAGAGAAAATTCAAAGTAGATTTATTACGTTATCATAATTCGGATTTATTTGCCCACACTTGCCAACTCATTACATCAATCAAGTCTATTCGATTATCATAAATGTACTCTAGAAAGAAAATCTTATATAACTATGAACACCATATCAGAAATTTACGTGATCTCCACTCTTTCCAATTAACAGATAATAACCACTACAGCACAATAATAGAAGAAAGAAGAAGCCGGTTTTGAATTTAACGTAGAAAGAAAATAATCCTTATAGTATTTTATTTTTGTTATTGCCTACGTATACGTATACTATTGTCAAGAATAAGATAGTGGATTACCGGCATAGAGTTTGTCTTGGCCACTGTATAGACATATTGTTTCAAATGATGATCTATTCTTTATCCAAATTAGCGGGATACTAGCAACAATCAATGGCGATTTTTTTGCTAATTTAATTAACATTGACTACCTGATAGGTTAAATTCGTTCCGCGCATTGTTTCCATAATCAATTATACCCTATAGAAGACGAGGTCATGCCCATGATTAAAATTCAAAGACAGTCTAATTGTAGGCCAATTATTTCGTCGTCGATTTCATTGATCCTCAGCAAAATAAATATTAGTGTTCCTATAGCTACAAAGTGGATGAAGGAAATATTATTGTAGTCTTGATATTATTTTAATTAGTCATACTAGCCTTCAGTTATTTTTCATCCATCCTCACTACCTGTGGATTATTAAGGTCCATATTATTGTATGTGTCTAAAATAAAGCAGCATTCTTTCTCCATTGAATAATTTCTTCCAAGGTTGAAATTGAAATAGATTGAAAAGGAATTTCCACAGAGTAATTTCTTCTCAACTTCAATTGAGGAATTAGCAGTGAAAACTTGAGGCTATTCTGCATTGGAATAGCTTATGCAATTGGAGTGTCCGTAAAAAAGCTTTTATCTAAATTGCTTGATATACATCCAATATGAAATTGAACAAGCCCTGGGCGTTTTGATTTCTTTATAAGCTGTCTTAATTCATTGGAAGCCTTCACTACAGGTGGTCACAAATTAGAATTATTCTAATACTATTGGCATAGACATAAACGCAGTTTAATGAAGCCTCCAACGTCAGACTGCCATGGGAATACAACTCTATAGTAGTTGATTTTCTTAACGTTCTTAGTTAGTAATTTCAACGTAGTTATTGTCAAGAGATTAATTGGTCGTCATCTTCATGCTAATATTGTCAATTTTTGCTTTCTATTAAATAAGTTGCTCACGACTAGACTAGCTACAGTTCCAGACATTACTTTAACGACTGGATAAGCATCAGCATTTTATTCATTCAGTCTTTTCTAGGCCTCTTCTGACATTTCTTCAACTTTTTTACAAGATACGGCGTTAAAATTTGTCAGCAACGGTCCTTCAATTTCTTTCTTTCCACTACCGGGTATTTCTCCAATTCTTCAATTTCCTTTTTGTCCGATGATTAAAGATTTAATTCAGTCGTTTTAATTCCGTGTATAAGAATTTGTCATCGTACACTAACTGTTGCTTAACATTGATACCCTTACGATGAAACTAATTTATTGGATAGCAACAGCATTAAATCACAATGTTCACTTCAACATTTCATTCTGCTATGATCTATCTTGTAATCAACAATATCTAGATTAGAGCTGTAGTGATCGATAGTAAATAAACGCGAGTTACAGTTTAGTTTTTCTCAGCTAAGCGATAACAAAATTTAATTCTCTTTTTGCAGAATATTTTCAACTATTGCCTACTCATCATTGGTCGAAATTTTACGAGTATTTAGAAAGCACCGGCATTAAATTTTAATTTATCAAGCATTCAATGCGATCGCTATATAAGCCGAAATTGCAACGATAAATGATAAAGAATCAGCCTTGAAATAGAACTTTACCTACTAGCATCTTTAGTTGCTACGATCCGTCATCTAAATTAATTATTACAACTATAGAAAATACGAAAACCTCAGCATTGAAATCAATATTTTTAAAGAATCTCTTACAATTGCTACAGTTTAGCGCGTGAAAGGTTGAATTTATGTAGTTCTAACTACTATCGAAGATATTATAATTAATAAATTAATATTGAATTAATTCAGTACTGTATAAAGAATCAGCATCAATCTCAACTAGCACTAGCAAACTATTTTGAAACATAAAAATAATAGTTATTCCAGCTTGACTAAAGGACAGTAAAGTACTTATTCAACTCGATGCGTTATCTGCTATCCATTAAGTTGACTTAAGCCCATTATAAATTGGAAAGTAGCTAAATTTAAAGAAAGCTTTTCGCCTTGAAAAATCAAACATTATGGGTAAGGACAGCAAAAAAGTAGACAGTGAAGTAATAGATTATTCACTACAAGGCTCTACGGCTTGCGATCGCTACATTTATATTTCGCAAACGCATTGCAAGCAGTACAAGTTTGAAGAAGCCTTGAAATATTGTGAAATATCTTACCAGATTGCGTCAAAGCTAGGCGATAAAATTAAAATTGCTGATTGCTGCGATCATCGAGGACATATTAATCGTATGATGGGGAAATATCAATTGGCTATGGAAAATTATCAACAATCATTTCAACTCCATCAATCAGTTCATGAAGAAGATAACGTAGCTATAACACACTGCTATAATAATATTGGCAGTATTTGTTGCTTACAAGGTCGATATCATGATGCTTTAGTAAATCATGAGAAAGCGTTAGAAATCCAATCTCAAGCCTTACAGGATCAATCTGAGTGCAGTTTTGATATGGCTAAAACTTATCGCGCCATCGGATTAGTTTATTACCATCAAGGCAAAAATCAAGACGCAATCTTGATGCATCAACAATCTTCGGCTATTTTTAGTCGTTTATTTGGAGAAGAAAATTTATATCTGGCCAGTTCTTATCATAATATTGGATTAATCAACCAATTGCAGGGTAAATTAGATGATGCACTAAGCACTCAGCAGAAAGCGTTGAATATCGATCTTTCCATTACCGGCCAGCGGAGTTTACTGGTTGCTGATTCCTATCATCATATTGCTACAACTTATCAACTTCAGGGAAAGTATGAACAAGCCGAAATTATGATTCAGAAATCGTTAAATATACAACAAGAAATTCTTGGCCATCAAAGTCTAGATGTTGCTCAATCTCATCATATTTTAGCTGATATTTATATCCATGGTGGTCGATATGATGAGGCTTTAGCTCTAATTGATCAAAGTTTAAACACATATAGGGTCATCATTGGTGAGACATGTTACGCTGTTGCTCAATGTTATAACAGTATTGGCTGGTTAAAATATCTACAAGGTCATTATGATCAAGCTATCGAACTCTATCAAAAATGTATCCAAATTCTGGATAAAATGACAGATGGACCTTGCATACACAATTTACAATTTTATAATAATATGGCACTTGTTTATCGATCTCAAGGAAAATATGATGAAGCATTCAAAATTCTCCAGCAACAACTGGATGATCAATTAAAATTTTTAGATAAAAACAGCATCCATGTTGCAGCTATTAACAATAATATTGCATTAATTTATCAAGCACAAGGACAATATAGCAAAGCCTTGTCTACTCATCGTCGTTCACTTAAAATTAAGTTAAAATTACTTGGTAATGACAATTTATTAGTCGCTGCATCTTACAATAATATTGGATTAATCTATTACTTACAATGTAAACATATGGATGCCTTGTCTATATTTCGTGATTGCTTGAAAATTCGACTTAAATTATTAGGTGAAGATAGTTTAGATGTTGCTGATACCTATTATAATATGGCATTAGTCTATCGGATATTTGCAAAATATGATGAGGCTATGGATAAGTTGCAAAAAGCTCTTGCCATTAGACAAAAACGGCAAACTGAGGGAGGAATCGATTTAGTCGTTGCTATCATCTACAGTGCTATTGCGTTAATCCATTATTTACAAGACAATTATAACCAAGCGTTAGAATATTATCAAAAATCAATGGATATACAAGATAATCGCAAGATTGATATTAATCAATTGGATGTTGCTGGCTTGTACAATAATATGGGATTAGTTTATTACAAGCAAAAGCAATATGATGATGCCTTATCCATGTATCAAAAATCGATCGATATTTATTTGCAATCTCTTGGATCCAATAATCTTCACTTGGCTTCAATTTATAATAATATTGGATTAATTCATTCAGCAAAGTTACAACACGATGAAGCATTAGATCAGTATCAAGAATCGTTGAAAGTAAGAGAACAAATTTTAGATGAGGACCATTTAGATATAGCTCAATGTTACTACAACATTGGTTTAAGTTATTATTCATTAGGTCGTCTTAATCGAGCAATCACAATACTTCAGAAATGTTTAAAAATTCGCCAAAACCGTTTAGGCAATTGCCATCAACAATTATCCGAAAGTTATCATAGTTTGGGTTTAGTTTATCGATCCCTTGGCCAATATGATGAAGCTATTCAAAGCTTAGAAAAAGGATTAAATATGCAATTAAAATTGAAGGGAAAAAATGATATCAGCCTTGCTACATTCTACAATAACTTGGCTTTAGTATATCGATTACAAGAAGATTATCATCACTGCTTAACTATGCATCGTCAATCCTTAAATATAAAATTGGAAAAATATAATGAAAATCATCTCGATGTAGCGGATTCTTATAATAATATTGGTGTAGTGTATCTGTATCAAGAAACATATGATCTCGCAATATCCATGTTTGAAAAATGTTTACGTATTCAGTTGCAATTATTAGAGGAGATTAATATTGAAGTTGCAACCACTTATAACAATCTTGCTACTGCATATCAACTACAAAACAAATATGAGATTGCTTTATTAACGTATCAAAAATCCTTGAAAATCAGGTTGGAAGTAGTAGGAAATAACAGTGCTATTTTATTACAATCTTATAATAATATCGCTTATGTCTATAATCAACAAGGTCAATATAGTCAAGCTGTAGAAATGTATCAGCAAGCTCTCAGTATTCAAATTCATCATTATGGTGAGAATAATACGAATTGTGCTGAGCTTTATTTCAATCTAGCATCAATCTATCAAGTGCAGAAGTGTTATGATGATGCCTTGTCTATGTATGATAAATCAATTCAAATTCGACTACACTGTGCTGCAGAAAATGACTCTGCACTTTTAGATGCTTACTTGAATATAATATCAATATATCAAATACAACATCAATATCACCAAGCTGTAGTAGCATATCAAAAATATTCAAAAATTTTATCTAATTTAAGTAGAAAGAATCATGCTGATGTCATTGATTGCCATGATAATATTGGATGGTTGTGTTATCGAATGGGTAAATACGATGATGCTTTATTAAATTATAAATTAGCGTTGGAAATTCGACAGTCGATATTATCTGATGGGAATCATTTAGAAATAGCTCAATCGTATAACAATATAGGATTAGTTTATCGATTGCAAGGTCAATATGAAGATGCGCTTACTATGCATCATCAGTGCTTAAAAATTCAACTAAAATTACTGGATAAAGATGACACGAATCTTGTCCAATCTTACGATAATCTTGGAGCAATTTATGAGTTGCAAAATAACCATGAATCTGCAAAGACTATGTATGACAAGTCCGTTAAATTGCGAAATGGAAGGTTGGATAATTGCCAAACTAAAACGAATGCTATTTCGAAGGAGAAGGATTCTGTTTTAGATTTTAATACTAAGTTAAACTTGAATATCTCTGAGCCTACAACATCTCCTTCTATCACAATCGATCGACCTTCTCCAGCACATCATAAAAGTTTTAACAAGCATCGCCATACAAACAAGATTATCAACAGTAAATCTTAATGAACAGTGTTTTCAAGTTTCCAAGGAATAATGCGCATTGAGCTAGTATAACATCTTATGATGAAGATTCTATCCGAATTATTCAATAGAGGCAGTATAGTCATTTTTATTTTATGTTTTAATTTGAATTTATTGTACAATGATATCGCCTATTTTTCGATATAGCTATTATAGTGCATTTGAAACTATTTTATTCGTGGAAATGATAAGACAGTAGATAATACAGTAGAACGAGGGCTTCTATTTTTATTATGATATTTGCAAAATAAAGTCAAGATATTTTAAGTTGCATATGTTAAACAACCTTTTTAGTATCATCGGTGTGATATATTTTAAAAGTGATGGCGCACTTTTTGTGTTTATCTTTTGAAGTTTTTCTAGCCGACTTGTGAATTAAGGCAGCCATAGTCAATAGTGTACTGTATACTTGTATTAGGATATAAACACCCTTCTCGTAGCCTATACCCGTATTTCATTTAGACATGCTTTTTCAGATATCCCTGATAGTCAATAGCAAGCTGTATTGAATATTGACGGAACTAAGCAATTGATTAAAGGGAAATGCTTGCTTGATACTCACAAAGTTGCGCATATATTTTATATATGTTATACTGATAATGTCAAGTATGGCAAGCATTATTTCTTATACTTCTTACAAGTTTTATTTCGTCTTCTAAACTGAACCCAGGGTACGTTTAATAGAAGAAGTTATCATATCATTATATTTTAGTAATTTAATATGTAGGAATATCGCTGTCTCGATTCGATATGATCGAATGCAGTAGGGAAATAAAAATGAAATTGTATTACATTTATAGCATCCATGAATGTTAAGGAGATTATTTGTCATATTCGCAAAAATGAAGATTTTCCTAAAGCAAGAGGTTATTAATATGTAGGAATATCGCAGTCTCAATTCGATATGATCGAATGCAGTAGGGAAATAAAAATGAAATTGTATTACATTTATAGCATCCATGAATGTTAAGGAGATTATTTTGTCACATCCGCAAAAATGAAGATTTTCCTAAGGCAAGGGGTTATTAATATGTTGCTAGGTCACATTTAGTTAATGATAAAGTAGCTGAAAGTAGCCCAGAAACATTGTGAGAAACTTCTTGCTCCAAAATGGTCGTTGGACAGTGAACTATGCGTATTAACCTTTATTCTGCGGACTACTAAGTTACTGTACATCGCAAAGAAAAAGTTCATCACGTTTGACGGGTGCTGTTCTAGAATTTGCTGATTGTACGCAGTGCAATCTACGCTGAAATACTGGTCTTGAATAGGCACATTTCGTCATGTAACCGCTGCTATAAAATCATAAACATTTGGTATGGCGGTTGTAGTTATAGCTATACGAATAATTCTATATCTACAGTAAGAACTCATTGCCATGGCCGCGATCAGCTTGATTTACCAGGCGGTTTTAATTCAATCTGATTTTACACGTATGACGAAAATAATTATCACTCTGACGGAGGGGCCAATCCCTGTAGCTCGAAATCTCTTTTGGGATAGAATAATTTGGCGATTTATCAATAATTAAGTGATTATTTTAGGTGTATAAGCAATACTGAGCGATTGTCTATAGCGTTACCACATGCCTCTAAACTGCAATAATTCTTTTAATTTCAGTACAGATGATAGCAGGATACATTGTGGCATATTCGCAATATGAGACAGTGCAATTTTTTTACTGTTGCGTTGGAGAAGGTAACGATGTCTCACCGCATGCAGTTGAGAATACTACCGAATGCAGATCAGTTCTACTGTATAAATCAGCTCCATTTTGAATCCCTTATTTTGCGATAAAATGATAGCTACACCGATCTATCGACAATTGGGACGGTCAATCGCCGTAGTTTAATTGATAGCTCTTGGCATCGCTCAGTCCTTGACTTTTTGGGCCAAAATGATATTATCCATGTAAACTCCTTTTTAGTGTACAGTACTGTAATTAATTTAATTTGTTAAGAAACGACTAGTACACCGATTGCTTGATTATACTGAATTTTATATTATATTTGTATATAGAATCTCTCTCTTTCTATACGAGGTAACTAGAATGTTATCAACGGAAGCTCATTTTAACCTTGATTAAGAAACGACTATCACTCCGTCTCATAAACTTGCAATTGTGCCTAGTCTAGTTGAACGCCCTGTTGTGACTTGTGGGCCAAAGGAAGCTCCATTTTTTAATTGATGAGGAACAACAGTCACTTTGACTTTTAATTGTACGCCGTCTAGCTGGATGTCTTCTTATGGGCAAACGGTAAATTACAAATGAAAATTCCTTGTACTTTATGAGCAAAGACTGCCACTCCGATCCATAGACATTCAATCATACATAGTCTCGTTGAAGGTCCTCTAATGGCTGATTGTAATGTTGTAAATAGAAGCTAGGTTGGAGGGGTATCTAAATAATAGAAAGGCGTCGGTGAATGTCTGCAGTACTCCATGAGCAGTACAGACGCAAAAGGTGATGAAGTAGAGTTTGAATAGACAGATATGTAGGATACAGTGCGATGCAAACAAGTGATTGATTGATTCATTGAAGTGCCCACCTGCAGCAATGCTGGAATACGTGAGGATTACCAGACAGGGCAGTTAGGGCGGGATTACTGCAAAAAGAAGAAAGATATAAAATGCGAGAGAAGACAGACAACACGTAGTAGCGAGAGCACATGCTGCGACTATTCAACAACACTAAGTCAATTAACGACTTTTCTTTATGATTGCGCACTCTGTAGGATGATTGAGATCACCATCGGCATGAATTCTTTCTATTTTACAGTACTACCGATGTGGTTGAATGGGTTGGAGCAGCCACTCCTCAATAATTGTCATCCGGTTTATACATTGTACATTAGCACATGCTTTGCAAAAAATATTCTGTCTCCATGGCATGCTACCACCAAGGACTACTCACTTTTTCTTTTGAGTAGTCCATGTTATCACGACCAGGTTGATAGGACCAGGTCAGGTGGTAAGCTGTGGGCAAAGGGATCAACATAAGCATCATCGTCTACTTTTAGGATGGTATCACAAAAGAGCTTTGGTGATCGACCCTAAAGTAAACTGTCTACTCTTCAGGTTCCCTGGCTAACTGCGGAGATCTTGACTAAAGGAAAACCAACTTATTGCTATACTGTACTATAAAAATCGAGTCCAACGATAGACTTATGAAGGAGCATCCGTAACCGATGGATTGTGTGTTTGCGCAGTTTGTTATTGCAAAGATTGTTGTACACGTTGTGCAATTTTGGACACTTTAGTAGACTTGTAGAATGCAGTTGTCTGCGCCATGTCTGATGCAGTCCTGTAGCACCAGACCAGACCATTTTCTGTTTTTGTAAATCCTTGACCAGACCAGAGGCTTTTGAAGAAGAAAAAGGTAATTGGCTGACTTGCAAGTCAGCCAATTCTGTGGTCCGTACAAAATCATGTGTTGTAAAATAGTAGCAAAGTACTTGCTCAATGACAACCCTGCAAGAAAAGACTATGGTCGCAGAACATAAGCCGATTACGACAGTACAGTATGCCTACAAGATAGAATCATGTGTTGTAAAATAGTAGCAAAGTACTTGCTCAAATGACAACCCTGCAAGAAAAGACTATGGTCGCAGAACATAAGCCGATTACGACAGTACAGTATGCCTACAAGATAAAATCATGTGTTGTAAAATAGTAGCAGAGTACTTGCTCAAATGACAACCCTGCAAGAAAAGACTATGGTCGCAGAACATAAGCCGATTACGACAGTACAGTATGCCTACAAGATAGAATCATGTGTTGTAAAATAGTAGCAAAGTACTTGCTCAAATGACAACCCTGCAAGAAAAGACTATGGTCGCAGAACAGAAGCCGATTACGACAGTACTGTACAGTATGCCTATCAGCTAATGGAAAATGGACGGTCAAGAGATGAGTTAGCCGAGGTAAAAAATAAAGTCAACCCGATATTGTTGGCAGAAGTGACTACTTCGTAGCAGGGATAACGAAACTATTGCCTTTCCAGTAGTTTATCTGGCCATTTTGCAGCGGTCAGCTAGCCTACAGTAGGTTAGCCATTTGGAGCTGCATTCTACATCACTGGAGAGTGTCGCATGTTCGACTTTCAATGGATGATTTAGTCGAGTTATCCAGTGCAGTACTGCAACGTACAAAAGTCATTGGCTCACGTTTGCTCCATTCAGTAGAGTCCAGTACGGGCGTAAAAGAGTCCATACAGTGTACTATAAGAATGCTCGTTTACAGTGTACAGTGCACAGTGTATTCACCGACACAGTACACTGTACACTGTACTGTACATTACAGTACTGTACGGTACCGTCTGTACTGCTCTGGAAGACTATACTGTACAGTACAGTACTGTACAATAGTGTATATTGGTCCGTTGTACTGTACTCATCCTGTACAGCAGTACAGGTTAATCAAGGTAATGGTTGTACTGTACTGTACGCCATACAGATTCTGTGATTCTTTTTAGTCGTCGACGTACAGTACTCAGTACTGTACTGTACTGTACTGTACAGTATTCAAAGTGCCTACAGTGTACAGTGTAAAGTGTAGCGTACTGTGCAGCGTCCAGTGTACTGTACTGTACAGTACAGAGGTCCAGACTACAGTGTACTGTACTGTAGTCTCGACGCGGCCTGTCCAAGCCAAAGCACTAGACTGCAGGCTGATCGCAACCACTGAACCAGTGCTGCTGTCGCCATCTTGCCACTTTTTCAATTTCTTCTTTCTCTTGGTGAATATGCTGCGAACCATTCTCTTTTTTGGCGCTGGTGGTATATGGGTAGCTTGCTTTAGCAATGGATTAAGACATCATCGTCTATTTCGAAGTAACTATCGATGCGTTCAATTGTAGGAGATTGATTTGCTATCATCATACAGTATATACAGTAGTACAGTGTGCACAGTCGACATGGTCACTGCAGTCCGGGTAGCCAGTGGTCAATGCTTACGATAAAATCAATTGGATATCATCATATTCAATAGCCGCTATCGTTGATGGCATCAATACATTATCCTAGGCCTCCAGTAACTTCTATTAATGCATGCTTGATTTATTTTTAGAGCCACAAACGCATGTCCTTTATACATTGATTGGACTGGCTATTGGCTATCAAGTTCATAAATATGAAGAAAATACCACCGCACGATATGAGAGAATGATGCGAATGAAACCTTATGTAACCAGACTGGTGCAAGACATTTCTGATAAAGGTATTCAAAGTCACTATAACCTACCGCTCAACTTGGGCTTATTTTCAATACGCCTTTCACTGCATAATCGTATTAGGATTAGAATGAGTGTATAGTGGTGGTGCACTACTGGTGATCTAGTAGGCCATTCGTTGGACAGTACTTTTGTAATCCATTTCTTCTTCGGTTGACATACGTTCACGTTGCTACCAGTAGAATCAACACCACAACGTACCTATTGCTACAATCTCCTATCGTAGTAGTTTACAATTATTCTATTTCAAACTGCAATCGCAAAATAGTGCAACGCAAAATACTGCAATCTTACTATTTGTAAGGCATTGCACTAACTACAAACTAGTGATGGTTGTACACTAGCTTCAACCAGAACAACTCCCAGTAAAATCTCGATTTTCAAAATAGGGATAGGTAATTGGATGCATTCCCCAACCAGAATACTTTCATTAGGCGATCTATTCCAAGTAACATGGTATACTTTACGAATGGAATTGCTTTTACAATACCCTGATAGTGAATCAATACACGATGTCAATTAGTATTATGCATATAGCCTCATGCATGTACTTCATATTCAGCTTATGCTTTGTTTATCTTTATTTCAAACACAGCTACTAGACAATTTTCAAAGGGCTATCATACAGTACTCTGCTAGCTATAATTACCAATGCAGTGGTGACAACAGATATCAACTGATCATGCCATCTTTTTCTCTTTCTATTCCATTAGGCCAAGAAAATTAATCATTATCCTATATCCAAGCTCTGAATGCAGTCAACAATGGTATAGTGTACAGTAGTGATTGCAATTTGAAAAGATAAAATTATAAAAATGGATACATGTACGTACTGTACGTGCATGGCGATGCTCAGCTTGCTTTTATAAAATGTATATTCTATAATATTTAACCAGTATACGTTGATAACTACAATTTGTAATCCATTTTGTATTCCAAAGTCAAACACAATAAATCTTGCTGTTTTTATCATTGTAAATCATTCCTTTGATTAAGAAGAGAATGAATGTACTCATCATTTTTTGCATACAATCGCCCTATACATGAGATAGTACCGACAAATGGTTCCTTTTTATCATTTTATACACAATATACAAGTATCTGTAAATTGCAAATTGAAATAGATACCAATTTGTTAGCGTCGAGGTAGGTTGCGTGGTAATCATCAGTCGGAAATTACTCTTTGGTACAGGTCGAGATTGAAAAACTAATCAACTTCCTAATCTTAATAAGCTATGATAACTTGAGTGTATAATTAGTACATGGTACTTGTAAATTGTAATGTTTTTCACTCTCAAATTGACGCTTTGGAGCTGAATTAGCCCTTGATCGCATTGGGATAGAACATTGTGGACATAGCTGTAATCCGTTTTCATTACATTGACCGCATTTCAGTTCAGCAATTCGATTAAAAGAGGAACTTCTATTCCGTCGACTACCATGGCACGAGTGGCATGGTACAAAACGGTAATCATAACATGATGCACAATTAATTTCCGTTGCACCTTGTCTCTACAAACGTATAAAACATCCAATAGTTAGTTAATAATTGAAACTATTTAATAAGCCATGAAAAGATAATAACTATAAAGTGGACGATAGGAAATAAAATATCGACAAGGTATTGAAACAATTTTCTGAATTATAAATGATTCATGAATGGAAATGAACTACTCAAGGTTGGGTAATTGCTGTAGTCTATGAATCGCTTACCTCAAAATTGGTCGTTAGTTCGCGCAATTTTCCAGATTCATTCAACGATTCAACAGCACTTGCCCCCTTATATATTTTCGTGGATGAGGATTAAAACAATTAGCTATTTGCTTACTAAAATCGGCTGTATTCATCCAATGTACAAAGAGGATAAGATACTAGTTTCATATTCATAAATTGTTAACCGATTTTCAATATAAAAATTTGTCTTATAAAGTGAACGAACCTACCGTACTTTCATTTTAAAATTCTTAAATTATTATCATATACGTATTATCCTTTAACATTAGTCAATAGCTAACTTACCCCTACGTAGAGGCCACCAACAAAAGTTTGAGGAAGTTTAATTTTAACGGTACCAATTCGCTCATATAATTCTTTTAAATACAACGGATGAATACTAACATCTTTCTCGATAAATTTCAGGCATAACGTTTGAAGAATACTTCGAACTAATTGACAGTCTTGTGCAGTTTCCCGTATAATACCGATCGATGTAGTATAGATAACTAGTTCATTTTTATCATCTATAGAGTTATTCTTCTACATTGCCCACCGAAAAAAAAATGATAGCAAATATAAAGCATACAGTACATAAAGAGCTCGTTAACGATGACAATCTTCTTGTAAATAAATTGATTACGTGATAATACTACTGTACATGTTGTAATACATATTTTTACCTGATGGGTAATTGAAATGGATAAAAATTGGTTAACTAGTTGACGAACTTTAGGTAGTTCTGATGAATCGATTTCTTGAGTACTCATAACGCCATGTAAGAACGCTTATGCGAAAATGATACTGACGACAGATGTACACTTAGCGGCACTTATATTCTACTACTTTCGACTGTTCCCAATAGTTCAAGAGTCGTTTGATCAATATTAAATTACTTGAAATCAACTGGAAATAGACTATAGAAACTTAGGTGTGGCTCTCACTGTAATATTGTAAAAACAATAACTGTTCTATTTCAATCGAAATAATAATGCCAAATAATGATCTTGTAAGAATGAATGAACAATTATCATAATATTGCCAATAGACAGGCGATAGAGACTATGTAATGATAACAATGTACCCACACATTGATTTCGGTTTTTTTATTTTATACATTTGAGTTTACCACTAACAGAGAATATGCCAGTTATAAATCGACATCAAGAAGCTATCGTGAGAATATATTGAACAAAACGTTACGATATCGGCCCTAATTTATTTTTCGGTTAGCTATTCAATCAAGCGTATACTGTATTGTAAAGGCTGTTTATGATGAAGAACTAATGTTGGTACATGTGTACAATAATAGTAAACCAAATAAGTTATTTGCGATTGTTCTAATGACTTTATTATCCAACCTATTATACCACATATTAAAAAATAACAAGCAATATTTTATTCTAGTATATCATTCATGACGAAAGTTCTTATACAGGATTGTCATAGTGCACGCAATAGCCATACGTATACGCATCTTACAATAACTTGATGTCCATATTTTAAACACCTATAGTGTAAGGAATGCTATTTAATATTTCGAACTAAAAGCAAATACTTGATCCATGGCTGAGAAAATTATCGTAATAGAGTATACAAAAGCTATATAAGCGACAGCATGAAAAATAAAAAATCGACAACTTGAAATATTTGACCGGCGTATATTTTACACGCAATTATTTGGATTTAACACAATTCGTAACAAAGACTTTGGCATCATTGATTCCCGAAGATGTAACAAAATAGGGAAAGTCTTCCATTAAATCTATTACATTCTACTCCTATATTTATAGATTTGCATTAAGGCAAAACCAACAATTTAAAAGTTCATACCGGAAGGCAATGCATGACAAAAATAAGTGCGCGAAAATTAGTCAATAAAAAGAAATCTCACATCGACAGTTTAATAGTAGTTTGTAAAGTCAATTTAGTTTATTGGTCTACAGGCAATTTAAATTAGTTTACATCACAGTGATTTCAAAAACTATTGCAATTTATCTAAACTGTTACTTCTCAGTACAGCAGTACCTAGATTGTGCGGTTTAAATTTAAAACATGTTTTTTTCTGCGACTTTTTTAATTTATGATTAGGGACTACTTCAAGATCAATTTGGGGGTAAATTGGAGGTAGTAAGTACTAGCTATTAGGTTAGATTTGGTTCCAGGTTTAAATTAAAGTTAAGTATATTAGCGGAGGATATCACGTACATCAGCAGAGTAATCAAGTATTGAGATGTTGAGAAGTGTGAGACATTAATTGCAGTATCTTTTACAGTACAGCACAGTAGCTTTGACGAGGGCAGTTGAAAGACTTTTGTGTATTTAAGGTTAATTTCGATGTCGTCGACTTACAGTGTTATACTGAACTTCTTAAAGAATATCTTGGAATATCTTCTTTCTTCACGAACGCACTGAATTTATTCTTATACATCCGAATCAGCAGCATTCGATGCTTCGAATAGTAATGTAGATTAAGAATTAATACTGAGAGTAAATCAATATTATTCTTCAAAATGCCTGTAACAGTTAAAAGTCGAAATAGATAAAACAGAAACAATCTTTGTAGTGTAGAAATATAGAGTCTAGTATGCTAGTTAGAATGATTAGGGAACACCGTATAGAATGCTGTATTAAAAAGGAAGTAGTAATTAACGCCAAAATATTTATTTAAATGAAATTTTACAACAATCTATCAAGCTAACGTAAAATATTTGCTATCATAAGCTCAAAATACTATGTAAGAATAAAATTTTAGCAAAAATAAATTCTCATGCCTTTTTAATTCAAACTTATAATAAATTATAAATTCTTCGTCGCTTTACAATCCATGAATGGCTTCGCTATTTCCCTGTAAAGCGATATAACCCTCCTTCTCTTTCTAGGTCAGGGTGAGCATTTTTTTGATGGAGTAGTCTCTGATGGTATACTGTAATGTACAGTGTACAGTAAAGTACGTAGTTCTGCACAGAAGTACAGTGTGCAGAAAGCAATGCCAGCAAAATATGATATGGTATAATGTAGCTGTTGTGCTATGTTAATATCATAGAGATGCAGTACCGGTAAGAAGAACCTCTATGGTTGAACCCTGCTAGGGCCAAAGCTAGACTAGGCTGGGCTACCTGCTTCTGTAATACCTATCGCAAGTAGTATTAATGCCAGTTGTAAGGCATAATAATTATAAATATTTTATATCAATATAAACACTTTTATATTATCATTACATAAACATTGTTAGAATAGTATTACGTTTCGAGATTAGCTACAAATTTAAAGTATCAATGTTTACATTCGAAGAAAAATAAGCCGTATTCGTTTATCTACAGTGCAGTATAAGGACTATCATTAAATATTTCGATCTTAAAGTAGGACACTTGATCGTGGCTGGGAGAATTATCGTATACGAAAGTACATTTAAATGCTCTATAAACGACTGCATGAACAAAATCGATAAATTTAAATATTTGAACCTAGTACATTTTACACGTAATTATTTGGATTAAACACAATTCGTGACATAGACTTTGACATCATTCATTCCCGAATGTGCGACAGAATAAGGAAATTTTCCTTTAAATCCATGACAGGCTGCTCCTATATTTATGAAAATGCATAAAGGCGAAACCTGCTATTAGTCAATATAAAAGTCACACATCAACAGTTTAACAGTAGCTCGTAAAGCCAATTCAAATTTTTCTGTTTACAGGTAATACAAATTAGTTTACGTTACAATGATTTTTAAAACTATTGCAATGTATATATATACCGACTTCGCCGGCCATGTTAACAGCAATTAAAGCTCCATTAAAATGGGGATAATATTTTTTGATCCTCATGATGGCTTCCGTAGTTGCTTTCTTAGGAGACATACCAAGTCGCATGCTTTCGACTACTTGGTAACTGAATGATAATATCAATGAAAGAATTTAGGCAAAACTCAGATTAGATAATGTTTAGATATGATCATGATTACCTTGGTAAAAATCTCATCATGACATCGCCGTCTCCGGTTGCTGCAGAGCCACCTATATCTTTATCTACGTAAAGGCCAGCACCAGCAATGGGAGAATCGCCTACACGGCTAAGTTTATTGAAAATATCAAAGTAGTTTATTTAAAATTTTATGATATAGCAGTAAGGTAGTATCCGTCATGATTTAAAAATTTCCCAATCATTATTGCATTCAAAAAGTTATTACTTTGAATTGCAGTCCACTCTGTATCTCATTAAATCAAAGTAATTTATTCATTACCCAGATATCTTATGATTTGCACCATTGGTGGATGTTCCACCGGCGATAGTATTTTTATCTACGACAATCATTCCTAGGGTGAAATGACATCATTTACAGTTAATAAAATTGGATAATTTGCTACTTCATGTGTAATTTTACCTATGGTGTCATGATTATCACTGCTAACGTCGTGGTTTGTATCTTGTTTACAGTCAAGAGATTGACATCTAGTAAAATTTAAAATTAAGAATGTACTGCTAAGTTAAAAGTCGTATTTGAAGTTAGATCTACACAAAATAGGCTTTTTATCAAGTATCGTTTCAAAAATTACGTATCAGCAGGTCTATATGGTCCACAGCTACTTCTCGGATTGGGAGTAACTCCCTACAAAAGTGAACTTATGCTCTCACTTTTTATTTAATAATATAATAGTCGCCACAAGTCTGTTTCAATATTGAGACCAGAGAAAAAGGGCTATTGTGAACTACTATATTGGATACGTTAGAAGTATACCTTCCAAAAATTGGGTTGGCAGTTATTTTCCAACCACGATTTGTAAATACCGCTATTAATATAGGAAAAACAATTTAAACACACCAAAAGTTAAACAGTGCCTGTGAAGCGCGTATAGCAGTGAATCTATTATAATTATTGATTGATCAATAATTAATTCAACCTACACTGATTTATTCGTATGTAAATTTTCTTGCTTGAATCCTGTACTAATTGCAAATCTAGTGGCTTGTGATAATGTTGACAAAAATAGATTACAATTTCTTGGCGACGTAGTGCAGTAATCACTGATTAGCAATTAAGATTGAGCAAAGTTCCTAAAATATTAGAAATATACCTTCATCACCAACCAGTAAAGTATGATTGGTCAATTCCATAACTTTTCTAGCTACAGAAATAGCGGATTTGATCCTTTTTAAGCAGCCAACAGAGCCAACATCGTGAGATGTTCTAATATTACAAGTTAAAATATCACCAAAACTTTTATTTCTATTACAGTCTTCCAAGAGTTGCTAGTATGGGATATAATTACAGAAAGAGACAACGAGTACAAAAAGAATAGATTTAACAGCCTCATGCATTGCATAAATACTGTATCGAAACTTACCCATCCATGATCATGGCATCCAACGTTGTCTCTCCACTTTCATCAGGACTATTTCGATAAATAAGATACAACATTTAGAATAACTGAAAGTGATTAAGTTAAATAGAATATCCAGTGAGCTATATCAATATAAATAAGATATTAGAGATGTCACAGTTGTATGTGTATCTTCGACAATTACCTCATAATATTAGCTAACGTAGGGAATGCTAGTCGTCTTACGACAGAATTTTAAGTCTTATACTTTCCGTAAATGGAGGCGGAAAGATGAAGTTACAGTTCGGTAAAACAAAATAAGTTGTATTGATACTGTAATGAGAGCCTCAAGAGGAAAGTACCGTGCTAGAATATACATCGTATCACTTGGGATCTTCCTGCAATGTATGTGTATTCTTAAACTTTTTTCTATTCCATTGACAAAGAACTGTGTCATGTCGTTGTACAGTATAATTAGGCAGCAGATACATGCATACGAATATTAATGTAATAGATATTGCAGGGTTGAAAGTTAAACTGGTAGATATTCCGTGATTTACGAGTTAGTTTACAAGAAAGACAGGCAGGTAAATTGATTCAATATAAGAATTAGTTAAATTAGAGAAGGTAGGTTGTCGTCACACCGGAAGAGCATGCAAAGGTATCCAGCTTACCTTCCACCATATCCAACAGTTCCATCACACTGTGCAACTTCACAAGCCGTACAGCCTTGCTCGACCGCATCTAATGGGGTACCGCTAGTAGAATTGATTACCTTCCAAGCTACACAAGAGTTAGAATTAATGTAGTTAGTTATGCATATGAGGTGTTTGCAATCCATTCAAGATGATTAATATGCTATAAAGTCTTATGTGGTAATGCACATGTTGCGTCCATCTTTTGCACTACTAATTTATTCTATAGTTTGTTGAAAACAGCTATAATTCAGAATTATTGATCTACTCCACAGTACGTATGTTGATTAGAACATTCAATAGAAATGTACTTATCTCCACTTTCCAATTCAATATTTATTATTTGTTTTCAAGATAACGACAATAGTAATTAAATCAACCCATGCAGTTCATGTTTAATCTCCTGTTATACTAAACAGCCAGAAATGCAACATAAGAACTAGCACATCCGTGTTAAGTAGGATTGCTATTCTCAATAGTTGGAATAAAATGACACCATCGTTGGATGGTTATCATTTGATTTATTTTACTATGCAGCATGAGATCATTTCATTTTGAGCTGTTTCCAACAAACCTGCCCGCGTTGCCACAGTGAATGGCCAAGTGTTGATAACCAACGGTAACTTGTGATCATTCCCTACCGCACAGGACAATGATATAATAACAAGAAAGTAGCAAGACACGATAGCTAGACTAAAGTTAGTTGTCATATTGCCTCATAACAAGCTGCAACAAATAACGTTTGATCAGTAAGATTCTTCCTTGAACCATGCAACCCAAAGCTTGCGACCGTGTTTACCTTTTCGATGGCTTAACTGGAGTCGGGAACGGAACGGTAACGTACCGTACTGAATGGTCGCCTTGTAGTACTTGTACGGTACAGACGGACTTGGGAAACAAATCCAGAACTCTTTGTCAGTGAAGACCTGTACAAGGGCGACAGCAGTTCTGCAATTAGTAGAAGGATAATGGACGCAAAAAGCAAAGCAAGGCTAGCGAAAATGACGTGGCACAATATACCTTAAGTTAAGGTTAATATGCATACGAGTATATAGTGATGAGAATCGATATGGAAACATTTGATGACTTTCTTGAATTTTGTATAGTAAAAGCTGTTAAATTTTCGGCACTCAAGATATCCACTTTAGGTTCCGCCATTCATTCATGGTCGGATATTGGTGAAGATTCTTTAATATGGAAACACTTTACTCGTATATCAGCTGATATACGAGTAAAGAGTTTCCATATTTTTTCTCATCACCGTATGGTTCCGCCATTCATTCATGATCAGATATTGGTGAAGATTCTTTAATATGGAAACACTTTACTCGTATATCAGCTGATATACGAGTAAAGTGTTTCCATATTTATTCACATCACTGTAGGTGATGGAACTCTTGATTTCACCATACTAGAGATAGATATCTATGGAGATTCATTTGTTATTTGTAGTTATGATATCGTCATTGAGATATCCCTATCTTTATCTGCTTCTGTACTACCTGTTATCAGTAGTATTAATGATAGTTGCAATGCTAATTAAAAGTAACAAATGCTGGAATATCGTATTCATGTGAATTAATACCGATTACCTATAACTTATATAGATAAGATGATATTCTCGTTTCTCATCAGCTGATTGGTGAAAGCAATGGAAGCAAGATAGACGATTCAAAATGAAAGCAGTCTTTTTTATTTCCAATTTACATCCGCTACTCAATCGGGCTGCTCTATTGATATTCAACTCTGTTCGAATAATTAATTAATTTGGCAGAAATACGGTATATCAAATGGCTTGAGGTAGTATGACTATTAGCGGATTTATGTTATTAATGCTTTTATTTACATCCTATACACATACATGGAAAGAGGAGAAAGCTTTGAAATGTATTTGCATTATAAATTAAGCGAAATGTAAATATAAAGTATTACCAACACTATTGGTATAAATAAATTTGGAGGAAAGGGTACTGATATTCTTAAAATTCTGGAATCTCTTCGTCATTAGAAAAGTATGGAAACTATTTTAATCGTAACATGCAACATCTTTTCTATAAGATCATGCCATGACTGTTGTATTGATTAATCAATAATAACATCCTTAGTCTTGACAGTTTCGTAGGATATATCGATCAGCAGTGATGTATTTTCTGGATCAACTACGAATACTGAAATTACTGCAGCAATCAAGTTACAAGTGCCAGCAGTAATAAATACGACACTAATAGAATTTGTACTTTGTATAATAGGCCCGAAGGTAATAGAAATGATAAAAGTCCCTAAGTACAGGCAGTTATTCAATATTGCTGAATCGGTTCCACAACCTCTAGTATTCCATCTTGGATCATTCTAGATATAAGATGGCAATATTTTAATATCTTGCCATGAATGAAATATCTATCATAGGTGTATACTGCGTATTTGTTATTACCGAGTAGTAATAGTGATATTTTCCCACCAGTCCATAAGGTATGCTATAGATTGTCACTGTAGCAAGTTCTGTAGCACAGCAACATGCAATTGCCAGACTAAGTTCGGTAGTAAAGGCTAAAAGTATCATTGCTGTACCTGAGATACACAAGCCAAATATCATGCCCAACCTGGATCCTAATTGGATAGAGTAGACAGCAAGATAAATATGAGGAATCGAATAAAGAAATAAAGCACAACTAGCAACATTTCTTATTAATCAACAATATTCATCAATTGCTGCACTACAATTAGTTATCGATTTCAATCAGATAGAAACCCAATGCGATATTTCACATAGGTATAAGAGTATATATATATATATATTATAAAATTTTTTAAGATACCAATCCGATCTAATAGCCAGTATTCAAGAAGGTAAGTGTAAATTATATCGATGACGGTTGCTCCAATAAATGCCAAACTTGAAATTTTGACCCCATCAAGATAGTTCATGTAGTCAGAAGAGTTTATCGGAGCGTTGTTACTTCCGTTGAGTATAACTTGGCCAATGAAATCAGAATAAAAGAATAAAAAACTTACATGAGCTATCCAGCCGAAAATTGATAGAGCACAGAGGATAACAAGTTCTTTAGGCATTTTGACAATAGAATAAATATAGCCATAACAACATAATTTTAACTTGTTTTGGCCAGCATCTTCATTCTGTTGGTCTATAACTGTAGAATCAACTTCACGAATAGTGCCATAATTTTGATTTTCTTTTGGTGGAGCTTCATTATTATCAGAATTATGAGATTCATCATTTTGAAAGTTTGCAGAACTGACTGGTTTAGTATAAGGCTTTTCCTTTCCAAATATGAATGAGATTAGGAAAAGGATACCGGAGGTGAAAGCCGCAACGGTAAACACGGCTTGTCCTTCGTTAGCAAACAGGTCTCCAAAGAAGGTGCTATTCCAATGGATGCTACCCATATTATTAGAAAAAAATTAGTTAAGGCTGAAATTATACAGTATATTATATTATTGGCAATCACGACTTTGTAGAAATACAGTTAAGATATAGCTACATTATATCTTGGTTTTGGATTACTGTACCTGCAGATACCATATCCTAATATCATTCCAAATGATGCAACTATTGTAGATATGTTATTTGCAGTCTGTGCATAACCAATAGAGCTATCCAATAATATCGCTTTGCCAGGCACTTGTAGAGCATCAGTGAAGTAGTCCATAAACCAAACCCCAGTGATGACCAGTATTATAATTACAGTATTATTAAATGGATCAATCAGATGGCCGATTGCTGTTCCAAAGCCTAAGAAAAATATCCCAATGAAAATACCAATAGCAAATGCTAGTATGAACGGTCGCCTTCTACCCCAGCTACATGTACAGTGATCGGATACGCTGGCAAGATATGGCTGAATGATCAAAGCTAAAATTGGTGTTAGGCTCCACAAGTAAGGAATATACTTTTGTGGAAGGCCAGTAGCTAATAAAATAGGTACTTCGTTAACAGCTTGAGCTGCGTAACAGACTTCCAGTGCAGCCAACGAACACGACATGCAAATTAACCGTATGATGCTGATAGGTCTTCGTTCTGGTAGTGTTTTAATTTCATTGCTTTCATCTACGATTTGCTGCTCACTCTTTTCATCATAGACATCTTTTTCGTCAGACATTATTTATAATCCTACCGACAGTTATTAGAAACGTTGAAAAAATGAACGTTATATAAGTCATAGTTTTCAATTAATGATAGCCATAGTGACAACTTCACTGGTACGATAAGATGTACAATCGTAAAATAGGATAAATAAATAAAATTATACATAGCCATAAAATTATCTATTCAAAGTGTAATATAATAAGATTATTGCTGGCAAAAGTAGGCTTGCTTCCCCTAGGATGAATGAATAAGCGATATCAATAGAATATTGGCATGTGCATTACATAATATTTACCACACCGGTAAACTTAGTAGTTTTAAATTTGCTTACGCTATTTGTAGTACAAGTAGTGAGATATTCAAGATTTATTTACTAATCATCATGGCCAATAATTTTACAACCATTACTGTATATTATGTTGAAATTACTTCCTTTCGTCAATATTACCGTCAGTAGCTACAGCAATAGTTGTTTATTTTGACTAATAGACTACGTGTTGTGATCTGAAAGTTCCTCAAACCGTCTATTAACATCCTTATTCTGTAGTCTGCGCTCTAATTATCGATATGTGATATACATATACACGTATACTCGCCTATGTTACATTATCGCTGCAATGCACTAACGTCTGCTTAAGGAAAGAAATCCACGGGATCTTCTCATTGCAAAGATAAAAAAGTAATAGTAGTGATAAGAGTACGATAACAAATTGACTCAAAGTAAACTTTCCTAAGTCTATTGGCACGTAATTCTATATTTCAAGATCAAAACTAGTACCTGCAATAAATACTCGCTAACTCTAATCTATAAAGAACTTGAATAATATCACTTAATCACATGGGCTATCATCGACCATGCCTAAGGGGAATGTCGGTGCAATAAGCAAGATGGCACCTTAGACATTCAGTTAACAACATTATCGCTAATTGTTGCTGGTCGCATTTGCAATATTTTACTAATCCTTGTTTTACCTGAAGAGAATTTCATTCCATTCCATCAGAAGCTAACAATAACGATGTAAGCCAGAGACCAGATAGAAATTACTATCCTGTGTAGCCTATGAAATTTAATTTATAATGTTTACTTAAGCAATCAATTGTCGCTTAGTGCATTGCACAACGAACCGATGACAATACGATTCCTTTTCCTGTATGCTGTACAATATACTTGCAGGATATGTTCTTCAGCATGGATGTTGTTAATGAACTAATTAATTAATTCATTATTTATGACGATTTACCATATAATCAGTACCTGATCTTTAAAAAAAAAACATTGTAATGATGCTTGTTCTCAAATTTGTCAACCATGCCAAGTACGGCAATGAGCAAAGGAAGGAGTAGTACTGTACAGACACTTTAAGCCTAGCAGTATCAAAGATTAGGGTCTACAGGGGTTATTTTATTGTGGACTGTTTTAAAGACAGCTTGATTCCTTCACGTTCCTGGCTAGGTTGTTGATTGGCTTTAAGGATAATGTCCTCGTGATACAGCGGTGACTCATTGCGGCAAAATAATAGGCGATAGGTGATGATGACAAATGAGGTATTTACCAAGCTACTTCCAAGCTTTGACGATTCTTCACTTTATGGTTATTAACTGCAAAATTTTTATTTATAGTGCAAAGATGTTTTATAGGATTACAGTAATTTGAACTGTTCTATCTTTATCCAGGTATACTCGTGGATAAAATACTATAGGGAATAATCAATTAATCCGTTAGACTGTAGTATAGGCTTTAATACTTATATTGTATGTTGAATTGTTGATACAAGAAGCAGCTGGCGGATTTTGTGTGCTGTAGTAGATGCGGATAAGACGTAATGAGAAGCGGTTAAATCAAGATATTAAAACCGACTCTTCCACTTTGAGCTGACGGACTGCAAGTAATCACCATTCAGCCTGGTAGCATTGATAATATTTTTTTGGAATAATAATAATTAACTAGCGAAATTCGTAGAAACTTCATGGAATATAGTCCACTTTTAAGTCAATATAGAGTCAGAATCCTCTTTAACAGAGCGACACACGTACAATGGCATTAATATGATATGATGATAATATATATATATATATAACATATATATATATGTATGTAATAGGCCGATTATTTATTTTAATCATCATATGGTGAGCTAATCAATGAATTATTTGCTATACTCCAGAAAGGTAATCTACTTGTGTAGTGGAGATATTATAATGATATAATCAGATCTAATATGTATCAGAGAGTAGCACTTTGATTCTGCGAAAAAAATAAGGATTAATACCTGATACGTACACTGTCTATAGCCACGTCACAAATGTAAAGCCCTGCAAAACATGTATAGATTACAATTTTATTACTACTAATTTTGAGCAAATTTCTGTATTACTTGAATATCAACTCATACACTGCAATCTGAGATTGCTTTTTCCCCCGTTTGACCACACTTATTGAATAATAATTATAATTCGTAATCGCGTAGGCTACTCTTGAGATTTGCTAATATACCGGTTGCTAAAATGACTTAAACTCAAAAAATCGATTCAAGTTCAATACTGTAGTTCTTATACTATTAATGTGCTTACGTATACACCAGTATAGCATAGGTCAGCTACCTAGATTTATTGCACTATTGGTTATTCATCGCTGTACCAAATGAACAAACGGTTATTTAAGTAGAATGGATATCAAGAAAGGTATAAAACCAGGTTATTATTGATACTCCAATAAAAACCATGATGTCCACTGACAGTCAAATAGACAGTTAATCATATTGACTCAACGCAAGCTCTGTCGTAATTGAATAGAGACTGTCATAATAGTTAAATGGATGTTTCAATAATACAAGACCATGTTGACAGATCTATTTTGAATCAAGTCAATCAGACTGAAAATTTACCACTAATATTAATATTATAAGAGTATTGCTTAATGCAAGTTAAAATTTGAATTTAAAAATGACAACCCTGTAATGATCATTGCAATATTGAACCAACTTTCTACTATTGATAAATCATTATTACAGATATTTATAATGATTACATGCCGTACTAAAAACTGATGCAATCCTACGTTTCATGCCCATTCTTTTATCTTATTTTATTGATATAATCAATCGTTAATAATATTGGATAATATATTCGATATCTATACCGTATCTTTAACAAAATAGAGAAGCATCATTGTTTATAACACGAGCAAAAGTTTGATACTAGTTGATATTTACAACCAAATAGAATATCCCAAAAAATTAATGAAGAGAATATTCTAAATATTCAAGAATTAAGATATTCATAAATGTTTTTAGATATTAATAGAACGATTTCTCTACACGTATTAATATAAGAATCGTATTTTGACTGCATACAATAACATTATTGAATTCTATATCGTTATATTCCGAGTCGAGGAAATAGTTTCAGGATCAATAATAAAAATAGATATGACAGCTGCAATAAAATTACTCAAACCTGCGGCAAAAATAACACTTTGCATTGAATCTGAATTTTCAATAATAAAACCAAAGGTTACTGAAATTAATAATGTGCCAAGGTACATGCAATTATTTAAAACGGATGAATCTGTTCCATATCCACGAGCCTTCCATCTTGGATCTTCCTAATAGTCAAGTTATATTATGAACCCATGAAGAACCACAAAATATTAGATCTAAGCTAGGTTAAAAGTTGTCATGACATCACCAGTAAGTCTAAAAGCAATAACTATCGCGTAAATTGCCCGTTTTCTAGACTATTTTAGTAAAAGCATTTATTGATCTATTAGCCCTTACCTTGTAATAATGATGATATTTCCCTATTAAGCCATAGGGTATGCTGTGTAATGATACTGTAGCGATATCGATAGCACAACAACTACAAAATATTATTTCAATGCTATCAACTGAAGATATAATGACCATGGCAGTACACGATATAGTGAATCCAAGAATCATAGACATTCTTGATCCTGTCGTAAAGTAAAAGTAGAAATGAAAAAGTAAAATATAGATTAACGAAAGATAAGTAGTCATTACTATCTATTGGAATTGTTTTCCAAACATTTGCTAGCTGTGGCTAATTCAACAACTTCACTTGATATTGAAGGCTTGATTTTAATTTTGAAATAGAAAGTATCAAGCAAAGAAATATATATTGTACGAATTATTGATTATAGTAGATAGCAATGAGGTACTATATACGAGAATAGTAGTAAAGTATTTAAGAGATACTTTCGTCGAAGTCATCATGTTTACAACTATTTCTTAATAAGCAAAATACGAGACTATCTACCAGAATATTCTTAAAATTCTTCATGGCACAACATACTATAGCAAAAGCTATTTTCTTTAAAATTAAATCAAAAAATATAATATTAAAGCTACATTATCGAAGCTTTTCCGAATTAAACCAATAATTTTACAGATATTCACATATCTATTTGATATATAATCAACACTTTTATTCCACGCACTAAATGGAAATTATGTTTAAATATTATCATTATCGCTTGTAATAGATGAAAATAGTCGCTTTGTTAGCAATAATAAAATTATTGCATCACTCACCGATACACTTTAATAACCATCTTTCCAATATAAAAATGTATATTATACCCATAAAGTTAGAGCAAATTAGTGCCAAACTGGAAATTTTTACACCATCACGATACGCTATATAACTTGAGGAATTAAAAGCACTATTACTGTTGCCTTTAAACACGTACTGGCCCATGTAATCAGAGAAAAAGAATATAAAACCAATATGAGCGATCCAGCCGAAACTCGATACAATACACAAAATTACTAGTTCGTGTGGCAGCTTAATAATGCCATAAAAATAAAAATTGCAGCAGGAGACCATTTTCTTCCATTGAATATTTTTATGCCTATCTTTTTCCATCATGACGATGTAATTTCGGCTAATAGCTTCAGATTTTGATCCAAATAACATCCCATTTATTGCCTTACTGCCAATTTTTATGCTATGACGTAACATTGTATCTTCTTCTCGATGGATTAGCTTGGGTCGGTTAGGTTTATATAATACTTTCTCTTTACAGCAAAGCAACGCAATGATAAATAGAATACAGGCTGCAGTTGCAGCTATTGTAAAGACAGCTTCTATTTCAGTAGCAAATAAATTCGTCAGAAAGGTATTTTTCCAATTTAAGCTGAAAAATTTCAATTAAACTCAATTAATAATTATCACTAAAGCAACCGCAGTCTTTCCTTAACGTAATCAGTCACAGGAGTACGAAGGAACTTTAACTTGGTTATGGATTGATTCTTTGCTACCACTGTAGTATTGATAATCTTACCTGCATATTCCATAGCCAACAATCGTGCCTAAACATGAGACAGCAGTAGCTATGTTGTTTGCTGTTTGTGCATGATCTTTAGAGTAATCTAAAATTAATGCCTTACTTGGTACTTGCAAAGCATCAGCGAAATAATCCATAAACCAAATTCCCATGATAGTAAATGCAATCGCGGTAGTACTCTGTTGTGATTGATGATCTATTAGGAATCCCAAAGTTTTACCGTAACCTAACAATATCAAGCCAATAAGCATGCCAATCATAAAGGCAAGCATGAATGGCCGTCTTCTACCCCAACTGCAATAACAGCGATCGGATTTAATAGCAAGATAGGGTTGAATAATTAGAGCTAAGATAGGCATTGCACACCATAAAAACGGAACATATTTTCGTGGTAGTCCTGAAGAGGATAATATTGGCACCTCATATATCGATTGAGCAGCGTAACCAATTTCAATTGCTGCAAAAGAGCATGATGCTGCGGCAACTTGTTGTTTATTTATAGGCTGAAAAACATGAGATCTTTCCATGATGCCATCATGGCCAATTATTTTCTTCTTACTCTCGCTATCATGACGATGATTACTTTCCGGACGCGTATATTGGAATAGATTAGGATCTTCCATTCTTATAACTTTGTAGGTCAAATCTGTTTAGGTATAATAGAGATTATAATGGCACTATTAAAGGTAACAATTTTTAAAATGACGCTACAAAATACTTATTTCATACATTACTTTAATAAAAGTTTCGTAGTATAAAATTAGCTTGTAAACACTTTTAAGATCCTTAGAATATTGCAAAATGATACTGGTACCGTGTTATTCTCTAAGCGATGCAGTGACTACGAAATCGTTAGCACTTCATAAAGTGCTTCTTTGATAATTAATTTTACTCACTGAATATGGTGCAGATTTTACATTGCCAATTGTAATGATAGCGCATAATAAGATTGATACTTGGCTAGATTATCCCAACTCGATCGAGATAATACTCGAATGCCATATTACTGCAGTTTTAAGGGTAAAACTAAACGAATTAGACAAGACAACGGGTACAATGAATGCAAATGCTACTGTAAAATATTCTATGTTGTATTTGTGGTTAGTCTAGCTAAATGTAGTTTAAATTTATCACGAGTACGCTTGGACATAGTTAAAAGATTGCTAAAAACATGATTTTTCAAGTAATTTTATCTGATGTTTGCTTCATATTGGCACACATACGAATTAGCCAACAGCTAGTTCAAGAGATATAATAGCATTAATGATATCTAATTAAGATAGAAAAAACTAGTTTCGTTTTAAGAGTGTGAACCAATTTATGTGCTATGTATTAGAAAGCCCATCAGGTATACTGTACATTAAAGAAGATTTTAATAAATAGTTTATATCGGCAAAGGAATACGTGAAATAAAAATTTCGAATTGAAATGGTTTGCTGGAATGACAGAAAAAGGCGATGAAGTATTTAGGTAATTAGTGTTAGGACCATTCTATCCTTTATTTTACAGCTAATAGCGAATCTATGAAGCGTTAAAACATAATGCTCTACACGCTACAATGAATAAACTAACATAATTTTCAGATTGTAACATTAAGCTAACGGTGTCAAATATCTATTTTGGATGTGCAGGAATAATTTATAGCATCAAAATGGTGGCAATGTCTGATAAGATATACTTAGGGGAAAATTTTTCTAATACTTATAGCTCAAAGTTACTAATGGTCTTCTTACTAGAACCGGTATTAAAAATGCGTTTCTTTTCAATGTCTTTTATTAGCACCTTACTTGATGGGATAAGAATCTACACCATTAACGTTATAATGGGTAGGAGCGCTAATTTCATCTAAAAAATTTATTATATTTATTAAACATCAGGCATAAAATAATGCCACTTTTACACTTTTCGATCGACAGTTTTTATTCACATATTAAATTTATCAAAATACTTACAATTGATCAAATAGGTTATAGTGACATAAATGAAATGGGTCTCATATGTTGAGAATTTACCTATAAATTTAATATAGGCGACTTTTCAAGTGGCCTTAATAATTAAATATGGCGATAAAAGCAAGGTTTTATTGGTCTACTAAACAATTATTAACAATCAAGTTGGCTATTTTATGATGTCAGCCTTTCGATTTTTGTTTATTTTGCCACAAATGGTAAACGACGTTTAAAACATAATTCAACAAATTACTGCTGTTTATAGCATCACCAATATCCTATGGAGCTTGTTATACTTGTTTGACGATTATACTAAGATTTACTGGACTAGTGCCATTATCAAAATAAACAATTGCGTTCATTTACATGCAAAGAGTAATTGATTTTTGCATAAATACGAATTATGTAGTAGTTTTATATCACATGATCAACACAAGCCTACAAAAAAATAAGTCTAGTCTCTTCGATTTATTGTGAAATTAGAGATTAATGCCCGGATGATTTTAGGGAAATAGTACTAATTTATAAATTGCCAGAGAGCTGCACTTTTATAGGATCAATTAGTGAGATGGCGTAGCAAATGGAATTGGCATGAACAGACAGTTATCGAATAATTGTAAATGCCTGGAAAAATTATAATATGCAAAAGATTAAATTTTCATATGCTGGTCATTAGTATTATTATGAAGTGATAGATCATAATTTATAAAATAGAATATGTCCTAATTACAGAAAATCCACGATATCCAATTATGTCGAAAGCGTCAAGCACCATTTTCAGTACAATACCGAGATTGCTTGCGATTGCAATGAGAATAATTGCTAATTATGCGTCTAAAATCTCATCGATTGTATGGCAGGGCTTCAATTTAATGTAAATTATGAAATAATTCATTTTTATGGACCAAGACGATACAGTATATAGAGAGAAAAGTAGTGGCATTAATCGTGGACTACTAAATTTTTTTAGTAGACCATGTATTAGGCCTATCGACAGCATTGTGTTTTGCAAATTACAGCTTATGTTTTCAGTATGAATCACAGTAATAGCTAATTATTTGTTGGATAGATTCGACCTCTCACTATTTTAGAGTTTTATCGTTTGGTATAACTTGCAAAGCCAGCGATTAATGATTAATAATGATAAAAAGTATAACGTAAGAGTTATGCATGTAATTTCAAGCTGTGGATATATAACATACAAAAGAATTTTATGAAGGCATTCTTTTAAGTTAGTATGAAAGATAGAAGTCAAAGGTAGTCTGTATTGAACTAATGATTGTTAGTTCAACTAAGAAATTTAATAAAGAGTTGAATCGACTTATTGATTTTTTCCGACCATATAGTTTTTGATTATTCCGCAATCTACCAGTAAGGCGTTTAATAACGTTGAAAGTTCAGCGATATTAGTATGGTATTAGTGCAATAAATCATTACCATAGTTCAATTTAGATAGCTAAATTAAAAAAAATTAATAATTAGCAATACAAGACAGTATGATATTGGATACTCGACATTTATAATGAAGCTTTATTATATTCTGCGGAGGGTATTTATCTAATAAATTTAAGATTTTATCCTAACTTAAATAATTAACCTAGATCAGGCACTACAACAATGATAAAAAACTGAACAGTACCGTTTTAAACATTAACTACTTTTACTAATGAAATGGTCAAATTTTAATATGAATTTCTTTTTAAGTATATAAATTAAATGATTATTATTTATATAGTAGATCAATTCTTAGAACGTCAATCAATTTTTGAAAAATACGTACGATTTTATAGTTAGTAAACTTAATATTCGAACAATATGGTAGAAGCTATTTAAAAAGTGGTCTACTATTCTTTTCAGTAAATTTTTAGCTGTCACAATTATATCGCAAAGAAGAAATGAAAATTATAATGTTTTGCGATTGAAATATGATTTGACGTGAACTATGGATGCCTTCTAAGATCTGTGATTACAAAATTTACGATATGCTATCTGTAATAGATTTTTGTAGCCACGGTAAGACAAATACCAGTATAAATTAATGATGAAGACAAGGAATGGGTTAAAAGCTATTTCAAGCCTCGCTTAAGGAAATAATATCCGCGACTTTAAATTAATGATACGCGTATTTAATATTAATTTATACACATGATGATTTCTGAATGGTAAAGATGATGTTAAGGCGACCCACTGCGTGGTAAGAGAGTCGATTTACATATTAATAAGGTTAGTACATATCTTAATAAGTTAGTATTAATAGTAGAAATCATGTTTTAGTATTTGGATAGATGTAGAGTAATTTTTGACCAATCAATCAAATAGCGAATAAACAGTTTCGAAATTCTTATACAAAGATATTCAAGAACCAGTTATTAATAGTTTTAAGGATAATGATGAATCATATAATTTATGTACATCAGATTCATTACCTCACATCGAATTTTATAACTGATGCTTTACTTTAACTTTAAGTACACCATGCTGCATATTGTACAAGTATACATCATTTAATTTGTCTTAGCGACGCAGTTAAACTCTTTGCAATATAAATGAAGTTTTAAATCATCAAATTTAAAATAACTGGTGAATCTTAACAGGTAAAGCAACGGTATCAGCTCTGCCTTTAATTGGTGGCTATTTGAAGAGTGGATACGTTGAATGTTTTACGTTGATTAAACTTATTAAAAGCCCCGATATTTCTGTCCTGTTATACTTAGAAACCTCGTAAATATCTTACTTGAGTTGAGGTCGCATTCCAATAAATAAGATGATTGCAATTAAAAGCTACAGAATTCATATTTATTTTTAAACAAGAAATATCATAGATTTGACAGGAGCTTGGGGATTGTAAATACAATAAAGCGAATGGTCCAGTTTTTCATATTACAAATTTAATGCATGTCTAGTATATAAAAACAAACTCACATTTATATTATTCTAGTTATCTATTGATGGTGCAGCAGTATTTGCATTTATGACAAATATTGAAAGTAAGCCAGCAGCAATGTTGCGAAATCCGGAAGCTAAAATAGCCCACTTGATAGAATCTAAATTTTTCATGATTAAACTGAATATCAGTGATATAAAAAATGTTTAGATGTACAGATAGTTATTTAGTATCGATAAATCTGTTCCGTAACCTCGATGGCTCCATCGCGGGTTCTCCTTTGGAAATATGAGGTAAATCATAGCAAAGAATTGCAATCTCAGCTAGTCATAGCCATTGCAGATAATCTACGTATGTAGATTGTTTTAGCAAATTTTGACATTGCTTACCGAGTAAAGTTTGTGATATTCCCCTAGTAATCCATAAGGAATACTATATAATATTACTGTTGCTATCTCTGCTCGACAGCAAAATGCGATTGCTATTGCTAGGCCGCTATTGAAAGATATAACAACCACTGCTATACCGAATAGAGTAAACCCAAACACCGTTGCTAATTTCGATCCTATATTTTAGCAATCTCTATAAGTGAAGCATAAATAATGCTGTTGCTATTACTTTGAATTTTAAATACACATTCATCAAGTTAGGCTAGTAGATATTATGCTATGATGATTCTAAGTAGTGCTTATAACGTAAATTATAATGTTCGCATACCGTGAAATGAATATAGTATAATGCTAGGAGTTTATTTCAGCATGGCAAAGGAAAAATCATTCATAAAACTAATGTCCTACCGTACGATATTTAGTTATCCTATTGAACACTTGTAGCAACATTAAGCTTTCATCCTTTTCATCATTCGATATAGTACACTCAGTATTTATAAGCTAATAATACTTCTGTATTTTTACATTTTTGGACGGTGTAGCATTACCTAAGGCGTGAAAAGTGTCAATTACGCTTCTGAATCAATTTGAGATAGATGATAGTAGTATAGCGATTTTGGATGAGGTAATTTGATCTATTTTATGTTAATAATAGAGTAACTTCCTAGGTAATTTTCTGGCTATACTTATGATGTTCTTAGTCCTATTAAATGGCGAATGAAACGCTCACTATAGTAAATTTAAGAAGATTTTATCGTTATATTTTCTACTCTAATTTTACGTACTGTATAACCTTAACGAACGGCATATTATTATACAGTATTGTCCAGTACAATCAACTTGTTTAAAAGGAAATAATTCAGCAATGCAAGACTATTTAATATTGGCAAAGCGACTTACTTATGTCGTTTTTTTTTTTCAGGATACTGTACGGCACCGTGAGTGTAGTGTTTGCTTTCATAGGCTACGTATTTATATCAAGCAGACAACAAAGGATTCCTTAAAGCTATGCTCTACTTTCACATTTTCTCGTACAGTGCTATGCATTTTAAAGTAAAGAATGGAAATCTTGCAAAAGTAATCGTTATAATGAATTATTATTCCTGATTCCGAACGTGCTACCTTCAAGATATTTTTAAGGGCTGTTCACTAAACTTACAAATATAAAACATAAAGAATATTGCAAAATATGTACTGAGATTGCTTTATGGAATAAAGATCAGCAAGAAAATGTTTCATTGCGATTTCTTTAACGACTTTTTCATCACTTTAAATTAAAAAAATAAATACTTCAATAGTAGTTTGAAAGAACGTTACACCTAGTGACTTTGCTAAATATTTTGATATCGCTTGAAATCTACTAGGAATTCTATTTGAAAGCCAATATCATTTTTTCTGGTGGGGGGGGGGGAAATTAGGAGCCTATACCGCATAGAGATTGAAATATATTCACATATAATACTTGTATCTTGTCGACCCTTTGTACTAACGTAGCGATCTTCGTGTTAATAAAGGAATACAGCTTATTAATACGTTGCCTCCAGAAGGAATGGTAGCCTTAGCTGGGAATCTCTACATAGATATACAGCTTTTATATGCTTGGCTTCTAATACGATATAGCCTTTGTATAATAGACAGTCTCAGCTAGTCAATTAAGAGTTTTCTACTTTGTTCCAAACTTTCATAGCGTATCCTATGTACTTACAATACTCAGGATTGGCCGGCCATTCAAATATGGTATAACAAACACCTTTAGCGTGATTACCCCCAACTACCCTACCTATGGGTCACTGAACTGCAGCCGATGGAAATTGGATATCCAATCTACCGATGCCATAATCTAGACGTTAGAAATGGCTAGAAAATCTGTATATGCTATACCGTACATGATGGCACTAATATACTGTAAATTCAATAAGCTCGTCCACGTTCTCTTATTATTAAGGGTTATTAATTAATGAAAATTGGAAAATAGCTATTGATCGTTGACCGCACAGCGCCACAATTCAATTCAATTAGACGATAGGCCCATATTGGGTATCCGATCCTCATGATCAGCTGTTGCAAGCAACTCTCCAGAGGCGATGCCACAGCAATCCCTAAATGCATTCAAGAGCTGCCTGGTGATCAGGGATGTACAAAGTCAAACCGAAACTCGATTTAAACCTGACTCAAGGGAGAGATTCGGGTTAAGAATTTCTGTGATGATACGGTGTTTGTATAGCGATTGCACTCATTTCGGGTTCGAAAATCAACAATTGGATTGGTTTCGGATTGCCTTTTCACTCCATTGCACAACACTGCTGCTGATTGAATCAGGGACTAGTAGAAAGAAAGAGAGAGAGGAAAAGGAAATGGTTGTTTAGTGTAGTGAAAATAGGGTAGTACGCTTATTTATTGGTGATTTGATCTGTACTGTAGATCTACAATGGAATACTAGGCTGTCCACGATTGTCATCCCCCAATGGTATGCAGGCACGAAAGAGAGCAGTAGAATGATCAAAATGATGGAGGAGTCTGCACATTTTTTTGGCACGTAACAGCCACTTGATGTCCCTGTCTTTATCTTGATTGGAGTGGGTTGCTTTTACTGAAGATAGAGCACATCAAGGAAGGTATCGTTGAGTACTACGTACTTTAGTTATGGAGGAGCTTTACAAAAACATTGCAATTGTTGAATTGAATAAGATGCTTTTGTGGTATTTCATTTTGACGCCGAATTATGCGTGTACTGTACTCGAGGATAGACAATCGCTACATTAATAACCTACTGGAAGTACATGAGTGAGCCGCTTTGGCTAGCATTGGATTGGGTTTACTTGCAAGAAAGAGTAAAGTGATTGGAAAATAAGAAGGTTAGCTCTCCACGGCTACTTCATGTCTCCTCTCTCTTGACTCAGGTATTTCATTTTGACACCGAATTGTGTATGTACTGTAGTCGAGGATAGACGATCGCTACACTAATAACCTACTGGAATTACATGAGTGAGCCACTTTGGCTAGTATTGGATTGAGTTTACTTGCAAGAAAGAGTAAAGTGATTGGAAAATAAGAAGGTTAGCTCTCCACGGCTACTTCATGTCTCCTCTCTCTTGACTCAGGTATTTCATTTTGACACCGAATTGTGTATGTACTGTAGTCGAGGATAGACGATCGCTACACTAAAAACATACTGGAATTACATGAGTGAGCCACTTTGGCTAGTATTGGATTGAGTTTACTTGCAAGAAAGAGTAAAGTGATTGGAAAATAAGAAGGTTAGCTCTCCACGGCTACTTCATGTCTCCTCTCTCTTTACTGTAGGACAATGCCTATGATAACAAGTAATCAATCCATTGTCGTGCTTGATTGGAGTGGACTAATAACCTACTAGAAGTACATGAGTGGGCCACTTTGGCTAGCATTGGATCGGGTTTACTTGCAAGAAAGAGTAAAGTGATTGGAAAATAAGAAGGCTAGCTTTCCCCGGCTACTTCATGTCTCCTCTCTCTTTACTGTAGGACAATGCCTATGATAACAAGTAATCAATCCATTGTCGTGCTTGATTGGAGTGGACTAATAACCTACTAGAAGTACATGAGTGGGCCACTTTGGCTAGCATTGGATCGGGTTTACTTGCAAGAAAGAGTAAAGTGATTGGAAAATAAGAAGGCTAGCTTTCCCCGGCTACTTCATGTCTCCTCTCTCTTTACTGTAGGACAATGCCTATGATAACAAGTAATCAATCCATTGTCGTGCTTGATTGGAGTGGACTAATAACCTACTAGAAGTACATGAGTGGGCCACTTTGGCTAGCATTGGATCGGGTTTACTTGCAAGAAAGAGTAAAGTGATTGGAAAATAAGAAGGCTAGCTTTCCCCGGCTACTTCATGTCTCCTCTCTCTTTACTGTAGGACAATGCCTATGATAACAAGTAATCAATCCATTGTCGTGCTTGATTGGAGTGGACTAATAACCTACTAGAAGTACATGAGTGGGCCACTTTGGCTAGCATTGGATCGGGTTTACTTGCAAGAAAGAGTAAAGTGATTGGAAAATAAGAAGGCTAGCTTTCCCCGGCTACTTCATGTCTCGTCTCTCTTTACTGTAGGACAATACCTATGATAGCAAGCAATCAATCCATTGTCGTGCTTGATTGGAGTGGGGTTGCATCAAGGGGGTACAAAATACAAAGAAAAACAGATTGCATACTAAAAGATGGACTACACGAGAGTACACCAAGCAATCGTGAAGTACTATGGAACTTTGGTTGTGCAAGGCCTTGACCATCGCATTGCAATTGCTGCTCAATCCGATGCTTTGATCGCCATATTTCATTTTCAACTCGACTTGGGTGCTGGGGCTCCCCCAGTCCACCTGTCCATACATCCTCATCTACTTTACACACCGAGACATGTGATCGCTACGCTAATAAACTCTTTTGTTGTGAAAAGAATAGATGGACGTATTGAACCATACCGACGATGGACTACGCTTGCGCAAAATGAACTTGCTACCACAAAAGAAGATGCCATTTGGCAAACAAGAGTCGTGTTAGAAAGATGCGCAAAACAGAGACAACAAGATAGGATTGAGACTAGTAGAGGGTTGAACATTGTATTAATGGCTGGCGTTTTGGCTAGCCATTGCTACTGTGCTTGTTACAATGGTGCGTTGTACTAGGCATACACTGGCAAGCAGCAAATTACTTGGTAATCACCAATTAAGAAGCGCTTTGAAACAATCAAGTCTGATTTTTCTTTCTCTTGCCAGCGGACAGTGTGTCAACATCAGAGCAAACTATGGCGTTGGATAGGAATAGTTAAGGCAAGATCAGTAAGAAATATCCCGTCAAAATAACTCAATTGATGATCTAAAGTTGTTGTTGTATTGGTTAGTGAAGGATTGAAGAGTGATGGTAGGCATGAGTTTCGCTTGAGGGCAAAGTCATTCCAGTTCAATCAAGAATAGAAGCTTTCTGTCGCATGAGTTGAAAGCCAACAATATTTGGCTGTTGTCGACGTCAACGACGACGAACAGAATCGTATTTACCGTAAGTATTTACCTTGGCGTTAATTAATCTTGTCGCGGAGAGTAGACTGAGTGACAAAGTGTGTATGTGAGTGGATGAGAAAGAGAGAGAGAGAGAGAGAGAGAGAGAAAGAAAGAAAGACAACATAACCTTTTACCTTGACCATCGTCTATTCAACTTGCCAATAGATTGTGCAAATCGGCAAGTGGCAGTGACAATTGAAAGTTGGAAAAATTACTCTTTTTATTCAATACTTGATTATTACAACAATTCGATTGGAAAAACAGACCTAGAAAAAATTACAACAACAACAACAGTAATAATCAACCACATTCAACAAAAAATGTTCAACGACCAACATGGCCAATCAGGATGAAAATGTTGCTCAAATTTTGCAACAAATCAATCATCATGTCCAATTCTACCATCAAAATCCATCATCCTCATTTCAACAATTTCATCAACAACATACTCAATTATTACATCAACTATGGGATCTACGTTTAGTGTATGTCGATCGTCCACTTAGTATCGTCAAAACTTTACTCAACATGTTGGTAACATCAATCAAGAATGGCATCGCATTATCCCATTGGTGGGTCTATCCAACATTACATCGTAGTCGTCTCATTATACTCGATAATCTCTTACATCATAATCAATTAGATTGGTACCAATGCCATGATATCGTCCTACTATTACAACAAGCTATTGCTAATTGTAATCGACACATTTGTAAATCAATACGCCATCTTTCTCCAGTCATACCTTATTACTGCATCATGATGGAATTGATCTTAATGAAGGATTTACTGACGGACCAATCATACGTTCATAATGATTTTATTATCCATTTATGCCGTAGCTATCATAAATATCAAGATTTACTCTTATTAAACAATGATTCATTCTTTCTCATTGAATACTTGAAAATTTTATCTCATCCTGGTAATACCCAATTTAAAAATTGCTATATTGCTTTAGATATGCTTGCAACATTGATACGCTCCAATCATTGTACTAATCCAATGAGAGAAATTGCTTACTTTGGTTATGAATCCATTCAAGCATATTGTTGCCAAGATTATTTAGGCTTTCGTGACATCTTTTTAGCCTATATTCAAAAAGCTACTCATTCAAGATGTTTCGATATTATATTGCAAAAATGGCTAGAAGAATGCCGCTCTATTATAACTGTTGAGAACATGTCTGAACGAATTAAAGATAGTATCAAACATGTATTATGTCATCATCAACAATTCTATTCCACCCGGATCTCTGATTATTTCCATCAAGGTAATCTGGATATGCAAACATTTTTACATCATAACTTATCAGATTTTAATACTGTCGATCATCCTACCATCAAATCATCATGCAGCGTAACTGATCAATTACCTTTGTTGCACACCATCACTTTTCCAATAGCTACTATCATCGCTCTACCATCCAATCAACCCAATGATTTAATAAATCGCCATTCGTTATTACAAGATATAACCGATCGTTTTTCTTCCAATATATGGAAATTAGACAAAATCAATCTAGTAGCTTTGAAAGGTATCAGTGGCTGTGGTAAATCCTGTATTGCCTTAAATTATGCTAGGCAATATCAAAAGCAATACCAACTTATTTATTGGTTCAATGCTGAAACTGAGATTGCTGTTCAAAATGGCATCCTCAAGTTAGCCTATGATCTATATGAATGTGCTCTATGTCATGGCTATACCCACACACGAGAAATGATGCGATTGCAACGATTACTAGAAATATATCAACAAGCTTCTAGCACATACGATAATATCTTAATTGATACAATCATTAACATTAATCGAGATCAGTATCATACTAATTTACAGGTTATGAAAAAAATTATCTTGGCTACATTTGACATATTAAATTTCCACTTTAAATATTTGCTAATTTATGATAATGCCTCTGATCATGTTCTCCTTAATCCATATCTACCGACTAAAGGCCAGGGTAACATCATTATTACTACTCCTAATGTGCGTTGGCCAAACGCGATGATTATACCTTCATTTGATAGGGATATGTCGCTCCAATGTATCACACAATTATCCGGCCAAAACGATTCTATTTCAGCCAATAAAATTGCTGATTTAACTACAGACTTACCCCTTGCAATCCGTATGACTATAGCTTATCTGACAGTCAATCAACTATCGTTAAAAGAGTTTATTGAAATATATGAAAGAGAATCTTGCAAAATTACAGTCGATATCTTGTATAGTAATCATCAACAACACAATCATAACAGTCATACTAATAATGCTACTCAAGATAATGCGCAGATACATGATCAATTTAATCCTTACATAGCAACTTTATGTAATATGATGCTGACTAAGATCACCGATCATCAGTTTTTAATCAATCCTATATTGCAATTTATGATGTATAGCTCATCAGAATTGTTAAGCGCAAGTCTGTTAGAAGACTATGTCAATTATAAATCCGATTCTCCCGAGTTATTACATAAGCCAATTCAAATATTACTCAATTATGCTATTTTGATGGAAATCAATGGTGATTATACCATGCCTAATGTTATCAAGCAAACACTTCAACATTTGTTTCGATCCAAGGATGTTCTCGATAATAGTGTCTTAAAATTTTTCAATCAACAAATGGATCTTGACTACTTTGATGCATTATGTTGGAAACGTTGGAAAATCATTGCTAGTCATATTGAAACAGCTTTATTATTCGTACGCGATAGCAAGCATCAAGCGAATATTACCGCATCATTGTATTGTAAATTGGGTAAAATTTACTTCTTAAATGGTAGCTTCAATAAAGCCAACTCTTTCTTTAAGAAGTCCTTAGATGTGTACGTTTCTTATTATGGTGGACATAGTCTAGATATTGCTTCATATAAAGGCTATATTGGATTAGCATGTTATGCACTTGGTAAATATAACGACGCTGAAGATTACTTAAAAACATCTTTGGGTATATTGAAGCAGTTAGATGATGAGCACTATGTTGACCTCGCAGCTGTTTATAATCGTCTATCGTTGGTCCACTTTGCTGCTAAACAATTTTCTGAGGCAGCTAACTATTGTGATCTGGCCACACAAATAGTTATGAAGCATTCAGGAGAAGATACAATCGATTATGCTGTGTGTTGCCATAACTTGGGTTGTCTTTATAGTGAAATGTACGATTACTATAGTGCATTAAAAATGCATAAGAAAGCATTAAAAATATTTCAGTTACGATTGAAAAAAGTTAGCTTATGGACTGCTATCACTCATAATAGCATTGCCGCTATTTTAAAACAATATGGTAAATACGAAAATGCATTAAAGCATTACGATGATGCTTTAGATATTAGTATAAAATTATTTGGTTTACGAAGTCAATTGGTGGCTGATTGTTATAATAATATTGGCATGATATTAAGATGCCAAGGTCGATATGATGAAGCGCTAGACAATCACTGGAATGCATTACAGAATCAAATTGTAACATGTAAAGAAGGAAGTCTTGCCGTTGTTAAAAGTTACTGTTACATTGGTAATACTTACTGCGCGTTGGGTAAGCATAAAATTGCCACGTCCTATTTTAAACGAGCAAAAGCCATTACTAATAAATTAAATCAACGGCAAACTGAGGAATATGCTGAGATTTGCGGTTGTCTTGGAAATATTAATGGTATGCAAGGTAAATACAATCAAGCTGTAAATCATTATCAAGCGGCATTAAATATTTATAAAACGAATTGTGGTGAAAACAGCTTAAAGACTGCCGCTAGCTATAGTGGCCTTGGAATGATATTTTGTTGTCAGCGAAAATTTGATGACGCAATTGATCATTTAAATAAATCGCTGGATATCAAAATTCGTTTAGTTGGTGAAGACAGCCTAGAAGCATCTATGGGTAATACTAATCTTGGCTACGTTAGTATTTGCCAACTCAATTTTCAGCAAGCTCGTCAATATCTAGAAAAGTCGTTAGAAATTATATTGAAAATCCGTGGTCAATGTAGTCTCGATACAACAATTGTATATGATAACTTGGCTTTATTTTTTAAAGCTCAAAATAAGTACGATGATGCTATCCAATATTATCAAAAGTCAGCAAAAACTAGAAAGAGACTCTTTGGATTATATCATGTTACCATTGCTAGAAACTATTACGATTTAGGCCGGTTATACAAACAGTCTGGTGATCGATTAAAGGCGTCTGAATGTTTCAAGGCAGCGCTTGAAGTTTGTTCACAGTGCATTGGAACTGGCCAATATTTAGGCAAGAAAATTGCCAAAGCTTTAACATTTTAGTGATGTTAACTAATATGGTATGAATCCAACTATTTTGGTGTTCATGATTTGTGTTAAATGCTGCCTTGAAATGGACTTTAAGGAATAATTGTATAGTTCTACCTATGTAATATACCGAAATGCACAATTTCATATGCCTATTCTCTTGTTTGGACATCATAAATGATATTCAGTTCTAGCGTCATTAGTTGGTAGTAATGTTGATCTGCGATAATTCTGTTACATTTTTGACAATTGGTGCTAATGTCTTATACATATACAATGTTTTGGTATAATAATTGATTTATACCTATTGTATTAAGTATTGGAATAAGTTAATAATATAGATTTAAGAGAGTAAGAAGTGATACCGATGTTCCAGTTATACTCATTTTAGTATCTGTCTTATTGCTAAATATGAAAATTGACAAATGCTGTTGTTATCTCTGTTTTCTATTCATTCATCTACACCTTCACTAATGATTTACATCAACATCATGAAGATAGTTATTTAGCATGCTCCTACTAGTTGCATTTATTACAGTAATCCTATTATAGGATTAAAGCCGTTTGATATTGTTTGCTGAATTCCTGAATTAAGAAACAATTATTTAAGTGAAGATATGTATAGTAGTGCAAGAAGACCTTTAACAGATCTTTATCGACATAATGCTATTTTATCTTGTCATGGCCTCTTATAATTTACTTTATCCTATATCTTAATTAATTGTTAGAAATTCTGCCTTTGCAATGATACTATTATTTATTTGATATTGTATTATACCATATTTATGAATCTATGGCTTAATTGCAAGGGTGATAATCTTGATCAATGCTGTTTGTTAACTGTACTGATATAATGGACAAATGTATTGTATGAACTAAAATTAAAATACTTCCTGTACGCGATATCACGATATAGGCTCACTATTGTAAACTTGGCTTGCCGATGATTATAAATTTCAACTTTACAATATTGTAAATCTATCATCATGTTACTATTACCTCGCTTTTCCACTGAAAGTCTGTAAAAAAAATTGTGCTTACTATTTAAATTATCTTATGTACTGTAATATTTACAAAAGCGCCTGTGGCGGCTTTCTATTTGACTCAACGTACCCATTAAAGTAAAGTCCGATGGATATTCCATCTGAACTTACTTGTTTATGGTTATGCCAATATGGCTATTGCACACTACAGGCCATAGACTACGTTTGTTTGTACTTTCTACCGTAGCAATTGTAGATAGGTCATAGCTATATTTACAGTATACAGTACAGTAAGAAGATTATGGATTAAATAAGGCTATAATTTCCTGCCGTAGATCTAATATTGCTTATTGGCAAATGTATTATTTAGGTGAGGAAGTATCCACTACAGTATCCTTGGTCAGGCGAGTGCGCAAAAAAATTTTAATTGACAAACGACGTTAAACAAACTGTAAAGGAAGTTCGTCCTACTTTCTATTAGAGCACAGTAACGTAAATTGTAAAATGAAGATTTGAAGTAGGGAATTATGGAATTACTAAGCGAGAAAGACTCCAAAGCGTAGGGTTGTCTCCTTTAAGAAGTTCTTAGTTTAAAGACGTAAGACAGTACTCAGTAAAGGTCTATGAAAATGTCTTACTCCGAAATAGGAAAGATTACAATTACTACAATACCTTGTTTCCAGTGCTTTTTAGATTCACTAAATTTTGTACAGTACATTATTATCCTACTTAAGTCAAGCCGTTTAAACTAGATTTAAGGTGTGTGCAAAGCGAAATAATGCGATGATCTTCATGAGAAAAATCGAGTTGAAAACGGCTTGACTTTAGCCCAGCAACAATCTATAAGATATAGTAAATCTAATGCACTGTGAACCAGAGACCTGTATGAGACCCATAGACCCATTTGAACAAGGTATTGCAGCAATCCTTCCTGGATGGCCTACAGTACTGTACAGTACACTGCATAAAGTGATCCTCTACATTCGATATTGCAAATTTTGCATCAATTTGTACAAAATGGATCGCAATTGCATGGTTTTTAATATGTAGTGGGTGACTTTCTACAATAAAAAACCTATGTGTATAGGAAGGTTTATAAACGATTGGTCTATTTGGCCGTTTTATTTATAGTTTTTACTATTCAAACATATCGAAGAAAACGGATCACATTGTACAGTACTGTACTGCGTCTTTAATTTCGTTTTAGATACTTTAACTAGGAAAAATGTAACTAATACTAACGTGTGAATACACTGTAGTTTATAACGATATCTGGCATATCAACAGGTTATTCTAAATGTATGGATAGAATTTCTGTACATTTTATGTCATATCCGTAATAAAATATTAAATGTAAAGACAAAATTTATTTTTCAAAATTTTTGAGTATTTTAGAACGTTTATTATGATAAATCGACTTTACGGACACATTTACTAATCTTTAAGTTAACTGTAAGTATAGAAATGGTTGTATAGATAGCAATAAATTTTAAATTTATATTTTATACTTTTACTAAAATATTTGATACGAAAATAACATTGTAGTATAAGGTGGCTCATAAAGGATTCCCGCGATTGAAATTATATGAAACACAATTTTAGGACCAAATAGACAAATTTGGTATCAGTCGATATACAATAGCAATCTATTTTATTTATACTTTATGCCTTTACTAAAGTATCTGATACGAAAATAGCATTGTAGTATAAGGTGGCTCATAAAGAATTGCCGACGATTGAAATTATATGAAAATACAATTATAACCAAATTAGACAAAATTTGGTATCAGTCGATGTACAATAGCAATCAATTTTATTTATACTTTATACTTTATACTTTTAAAGTTGTACTAAAGTATCTGATACGAAAATAACATTTTTTTGATTAAAACTATCTTAAAACACAATATTAATACCAAATTTGGTATCAGTCGATGTACATTAGTAATCAATTTTATTTATACTTTATAATTTATGCTTTTACTAAGGTATCTGATACGAAAATAACATCTTTTTAATTGAAATTATCCTAAAAGTTTAACACAATATTATGAGCAAATTGGACAAATTTTGGGTATCAGTCGATGTATTGCACAGTACTATTCTGCGTCATCACAGTACTATACATTGTACACTGTAAAGCGTGTACTGTATTTCAAAAAGTCTGGCGCCAAATGAGGTCTGAAGAGACGATTCATCGATAGACGTGGTCGTACATACTGGATGTCTTAGGATTAGGTGGTGTTCAAGGCATCGTACTTTTACTGCTGTCGGAGTTCATTTCATTCCTATTTCAAAGGAGATTGCAGGAAAATTCGTCAGCTCCAAGTTAAAGACATTGGCGAAACTTTCATATGGTAGTTATTTTAAATAGAAAATCAAGGACTGCTGTTGAATCCAGATTGAATTGGTGAGAATTAGTTGCAATTACGTCGCAGAACTCATTCATCGATTGAAAGACACAACTGCAATTACAAGGAAGGAGTGGTGTCCAACAAGCTAAAGCAAAACTTCCCATTCACTCATCAGTCCATTGCAGCGCTTTCTCACTTCACACAGATACAGTATAGGAAATTCAATTTGGTAATAGAATGATTTTATGCCCCCAATGAAGTCAGCAATAGTAAAAACAGGCGATATTAAAAACAACATTAGAATATTACAGTCGTTGGTCCAACGAGCAGGATTTAAAGACCGAATAGATTATGCTAGGTAAATGATGAGGATCGTCTTGTAAAAGTGATATTGATTGTCCTCTTGCAAGGGACGCCAGTATACAGTAGTACAGTCTCTTTCGATCTTTTCTGCCTTTGAAGCAGGAAGAAGCCGTCTGCCTACAATCGATCTGCACAAAGTCTATACACAGTGTAAAATATTCAATTCAAAACGAGTATTTTAGCAACTTACAGGATTTATCCTATCCTTCAAATGGTTATGTTGATATTTTCCAAACATTGGTTTGTAGTACTGATCCACGACGATGTCCTTGTGTGCTACAATGCTAACAGACGAGGTCAAAAATTTTTTCACACAATTCCAATCCAATTGGACTAGCTTAGGAATTGATCAACCTTAATTAAAATAGGCTAATAGCCTAGTTGCGTCATGGTTGATCGATGTGGATGTTTTGGAAGATGTTCGTCTCCCAACTTTGAACAACTTTGGACCTTCAACAGATCGATACATAAAAGTTAATCTATCACAGACTTGCAATCCAACGGAGTATCATAGCAACCTAGTAATCCGAACGTGCTCCTAGTAGCCTAGTTGTATTATGACTTAATGATGTTGATATTATGGAAGCATTTCATCTGGCAACTTGGAATAACTGTCTATGCACACTAGCATCGAACATAAAAATTGAAGTCGATCTATTGCAAATTTGCAATCCGACTGAGTATCGTAGCAACCTAGTAATCTGACAGGTCTATCAAATGGTAATACTATCTGTTAAATGAGCACATTATCGTAAACCGTCAGCAAAGCGACGGGAGTTTGCACTAGTATATGTAATAGATAGATAGATATTCTTGGAACAACTTTCTACCTACAGTAGCATCGATACGTAATAGTTAAAGTCAATCTATCGCAGATTTGCAACCCGACTGAGTGTCTGACCATCCTAGTAATCCAAACGTGCTAGTAGCCTAGTACTGTAGTGCTATGACTTATATCTATATTTACAGCATAATTATGAGTGTTGATGTTTTAGAAAATTTTGCATCTCTTTACTTGGAACAACTTTCTACTTATAGTAGCATCGATACGTAAAAGTTAAAGTCAATCGATCGCAGATTCGTAATCCGATTGACGATCTTACCAACTTAGTAATCCAACCTGCTAATGGCCTAGTTGCGTCATGACTTGTTGATATTGATATCTTGAAAGATTTTCATCTCCCAACATGGAATAACTTTTTCCGTACAGTAGCATCGATACATAAAAGTTTAAAGTCGATCTTTTACGAATTTGCCGTCTAATTGAGTACCTTAGCAACCTAATAATCCTAACGTGCAGAAAGCCTAGCTTTACACTCGTACAATGGCTATATTCCTGCAGATATTCATTTTCTTAGAACATGACCAGGAAGAAATTTCTGTTTGCATAAAGTCTAGGAGTACTTTTAGTTTAGCACCGTAATACTGCATAGTACTACGGCATGGCCATTTCTGCTTGGCGCTAAACTTTGCATCACAGAATTACTTATTGTAACAAATACTAGCTACAGAATAGGCACTTTTATGCCAATTTCTATTGTAGGGCTGGCTAGCATTTCTTTTTTTGAAATACTATGAAATGCATTAGTATCTACTGAAAACATTATCTTAAACTAAAGCTGCTTATTGCCCAATTTCATAATAGAATGGATATTTATGTCTTGCATTTCGAGTGCAAGATTCCGAACTGTAGTATTAAGATATACTTTAGAAGTAGGACATTTTCTCTTGCAGTCCTAATGTTATACGCTACTATGATATATACCGTAACGCAAAATTAGTTATTCTATAGGCAAGGAGTAGTCAAATGTGAAGAATTTTGTATTAAACAACAACCCTTAATGGCCTGTTGTTGCTGAAATCATGCTAATACGACTATACAAGTGGTACAAAAGATTAAATGCCTTTCAATTTTAGGCCAGGAGCTCTAAATAAATACCTAGCAATGTACAAACGGATAACTAGCAATTTTTGAAATCGCTTATCCTGTAACTAAAAGAGCAAATATAGATATCATAACTGAAAATACGTCTAACATATTTCGTAAGCCCGTGTTCATTTGTGGAATATTTATTGCTTTTCAGCATTGCGAAAGGGATACCTACGGCCTTCTTGCCTTTATTGCATTTTCTTCTAACGGAGTATTCTGTGGAACTATCGAAGTATTTACTTGATAATGGTTTTGAATTTTTTAGCAAGAATGATTTACGCTTTATTGAAGAAACTTTTAAGGTTATTTTGATTTAATGCTGATAGTTCTATTTAATTTTTCTCTTAATGGATATCTCTAATTATAGTAGAAATTTTTTAATTCGTAAACATAATTTTTAAACCACTAAATAATACTGAAAATAAGAGAAAGTGACAAACGAACAATTTATTGATACATTGTAAATTTAAGTTACTCTCTAGCTACATGTAACTACTTACTACTATAACGTGCTTGCTCAAGGAACATAGACTTACAATTACGTTTTATAATATATCTTATTTAAATAACATCAATTACCTCATAAACTAATATGCATTTATACGAATTTTACGTTATCATATTACAATATCATATTCAATTTACATTGGCTTCATCTTTTCCGTGCAATCCTAATGTAGGTCTTACGTAAGATTTTCAATTACAAGCCCACCATAAGTATCGATCAGTTTTTTACTGTTGGATTTTCGGAAAGGAAAGTTATTCTCACATGCGACTTGGCTAGAATCTGTATTGATAAAAACAAAGAACTAACCAGGTATTTGGGGATAGTATGCGCTATTAATTGAGTGAAAGATACTTTTATCTCTTTAATGTTAGTTAATCGTTTTAATTACCTATTAATGGTCGCAAACAAATATAAATATTACCGATTAATACGATGCTAAAAAACTATGGAATGTTAATAGTACTGTACTCCATATGGTGTAGTGTAGGAAATAATAAATTGATCGTATCATTTTTGCATGTGTACATTCGATAAGTTAAGTTTTATATCGAACTATTTGATGTGATACGAATAACAGGACCAATTTGATAATACAGTTTCAAACTTTAACTTGCCACAGGACTGTTTAATATTATGGTATTCTTATGCTTCTAAGATAATATGTATTATTGAATTTTTTTATTCATCTTACGTGATTTCATCGAAATTTCTAGATGTCAAAAAAAGATCGTCAAAAGGTGAGTTGATTCTAACCTTGGTTGTGTTTTATCTTGCTAGTATCCAAAACCGTTTACAGCAAAATTTGAATTTATTAGCAAGCAAACGGATAACAAACTTAATTTTAAAATTAAAACTTCTATTTGACGAAGTTTATATCTGGTATATTTGGTTAGCAGGCAAACTAAAGTGCTTGATCGTCCTCAGGGAACTATCGTGGATAAAGAGGTTAATGAAAAAGGTTACAGGGTTCCTGTTTTGAAACAACGGAGTGATTCGCACTTGGAAAGTCAGGCTAAAATTAGACCAGCTCCTTTGCCTTTAAGTAAAGATGGCAATGTTGTATCGACCCAAAAGGAGTCCAGTAGTCAGATTATTACAGCTGCTAATGCTGAATATCCATTAGACAATCCGCTTCATCAAACTTATAACAATAATTCTATTGCTTTGGATGATGTCGTGAACATTTCCCTTCAACCTAAGGTGATTCGTCAATGTGTGGATGATGGAGAACATTCTGAACTCGTTACTCATGGACAAAATCGAAATAGTCACTTTATTGAAAGAGTTTTAATTGAAGGTAGCAAAGTCATAATTAATATCAATTTAGCATGCATTTTAGCGACATTATTATACATCAACTTAAGGATTTTTACTTTTTAATTGTTTTCTTCTCAGAAATGCTATTTTTCTTATACTAACTTGATTAAACTAATTTTATTTGAAATTCTTATGACTACTTCGAGAAAAACTTTAAGGATATTATTTCGTTGTAGATCCAAAGGCTAACTTTACCCCTGTTTCTGAGATTGAAATCGTACAGAACGATGATTCTGATGAAATATTAAAAGTTACAGCGGAAGAAGATAAGGCGATTACCGATTCATTGAAATTTGACGAGATAACTGGTGAAAATGAGAATTCTATAATTTCGCAACTACTAGCAGATCGTTTTGCATATCTCTGCAACGAACATGTACGGTATTTTCTTTCGCTTGATATTTATTTATTTAAATGGTGATACTCTCATCTTAGGCGCTAAGTAATGGAACTTTCTCTGCGCAATGTTTCAACATCATGTAATTGAAACTAGATCCAGCAGTCAACCAGTGATATAAGAAGTGAGTTAGTAGCGCTGAAAGCGAAATATAATGATCTGGAGCAAACTTTATCAAATCGCTTATTTTTGCTGGAGAATCGTGTAAGTCTTGTTGAAGAACTAGCGAAAGAACTTCACAAGGTAAGAAATTACTAGACTTCCTTTGTACAGTCGCAATATATACAAACGTATTGCCTTAACGGAAGTGCTCTTACAATTTGTACTATACTCGTATGCATTACCACAGGAAAGCAATAATCGATTGTTTTTGACAACTGAAGAAAATTCCTCAACGGATATGTACTACGGTGACAGCAGCTACCAGCAGGCTCCACTCGATACGACTGTATGTTGTGTACTACTTATTTCATCGTTATACCCCTATTTTGGTAGAAAGTAATTAATAACTTACAGAAGACAATTTCTACAAGGGTCCAACGTGATATAAGTAGTGATTACTAACTTGATGTTTTTCACAATCAGGAATATTCAAAGAGTTCAGAGTCGCTTGATGGCATTCTAGGTAGTTTGCGTCAACAGTAAGTATTGCGGTTAAGTTCATTTAGTTTTGTTGTATCGTTATGGCTATCAAGAATAAGAATAGCTTATCGACTCAATAGGTTGTAATTGAAATCAGTGTTATGCTATTTTTTGGATTAATATGCTTGTATTCTCACACTAGTGGAATGATGCTTGAATTATCCTTAACGTTATAAAATAAAAAATTGATATACGATTGTACAAGGATTGATTTGGTCGATAGATAATGTTAACCTTTACTTATTCTAGGATTGGAGAAACGAAGGAATTAGTGCAAGAAAAATTGGGAAGAGTTAATACAAATGCTTAAATAAGCCACTATGTAACCGCAAGATTGATAATATATAATTAATATTTGGGTTCCGTTGTACTGTACAGTATAGATTCATCATAATCGGCCAGCTTTGTCATGCAATGAATACTTGATAGCGATCTTCACGAAGTACTCTAATGTGACATACTGTGAAACTCCATAAGGTTTAAGTTAAGTTTGTCGGCTATCATCGTGTTAATATTTGCAATTTCTGTGTACCGAGTATAGCTGCAGTATTCATACGCTACTGGGTAAGTATATTGACGAAGATTCAAAAGTTTTGTTTTTGTATATAAAGTTATAAAGGTATGAAATCTATTTTATTTTATTTACACTACATGTAAAGAATCAGCTAATTTCTGTAACAGAACATTACGAAATGTACGCGTACTCTGTCAAATAAAGGTGAACTTTTCAGTGGCCTAATTGTTAATACGTGTGAGAAATATTTTTTTTATTTAAATGTCATTTAACACATTTTCTCGTAATTTATTCGATGAATGCAAATAGCACGACCTTCTCTACAAGGGATGGGATGTGATAATCCTTACACAGTAACATAGTCACTGACATCATTAATCAATTAAGTAGACAGTTATTTTCGCCTGCTTAAAGTTATCTGATAGCTCTATATAGGTTTGAATAATAAAGCTATACGGATATTATAACTTATTAAGAGAAATAAGACAAATATTTATTGCTAACTGATGCAGAATTTAATGAATACTCCTATATAATGCAGTAGTAGTACAGTAATATCTCGCTAAAATTCTTATAATACTTGAAAGAAGTCATGACTATATTGTTACGCACTCCATCTGAAAACCTTTCTTATTATGAAGATTCGTATGCTTAATATTAATTAGCATCGCCTTATCAAACCGCATAATGATCGCATTGAAGTTCAGGAGCATTTTAATTGAATTCGACTTTGACTAATAGGGCTATTGTACCGTATACATAACATACTATTTTTTCCTGGCGCTGAATAATATTATTAATAATTGTCATTTGCATATTCTGCTTACAACAATGTACTATGGTAAATGGAATGGACACGCACAATCGTTGAAGGTAGTCAATTAAAGCTATATTCAAAGGTAGCAGGGGTCAATTCAAGGAAATTTCGTCAAGACAATATCTAATCCTTTGACTACCTCGACAATAGATCGGATTAAGTCGAATTGAATTTTACATGCAATGAGGCCTTGGGTTATGTACAGACAGCCTATGAGAACAATAGTTAAGCATTGTACGTAGAATACATATTGACAAGTGTATAGTTAAAAGCCTCATTAACCCACAGTCGTGATTTATTAAATCACGGCTTTTGTTGGCGTTTCCCTACCGGGACTAAGGAGTGGTAACTACAACGCTTTACTGAAGGTTTCCCATCATTTCTAGCCGGCTTAAAGGAAAATTTAGGGGGTAATTAAATGCTACTCTCTGTCTTCGTATCTAAAAACTTTCAAAACTGGTCAATAATCGAATTGAATTAATATATCCGAAAGGTATGCTATTAGTCTAAAAGTAAATTTATTGTTCTGGCTTTAGTTTGATCGAGATCAAATTAAAATATAGCGTAATCTAGCACTATCCTACTCCTTCTTTCCATCTTAAGATGCAAATATATTGCGCTAAATTTGAATTTTGGTAGTATCGCAGCTATTGTTATAAATTAGGCTCGCTAAGGTTATAACCAGTTGAGAATCGACAGTAAGATAAGAAGCAGCAACATTTACTACTATGCTTAACTTACTTCAGATTGTTTCGATATACGAAAAAAAATTAACACCTGTGATTAAACTATATTATAGATCGACTTAAATTTCAAGCAACAATTATATCAGTTAATTGGATCTACTTATAACGTGATTGTGATTTGGATTTTATCAGCGATATATCTGCAGTAACGCCTTAACCACTTTCCTAGGGAAAAAATACACTTACTATCTGATTTAGTTCTAGTAGTAATATTAACGTAAGTGTTGATATTAATTTTAGATAGATGCATAAAATCTATGGTTATGAGCTTGCGATAACAATACAGATATCAAATTAATGATAGCTTATGCTCTTTGCATATTTTAAATATACTACTAAATTTGATAACGATTTGTTACAGGCTAGGAATATTCCTAGCTTGCAACCTGTGCTGAGAATGTGTTTCCCGCAACTAACTGCTATTGAAAATTGACATATTACTCAGTCGTTAGGGTAATCTTAAACTAACTGTAAATTAAATTGCGATACAGTACTCTGTCCTCGCTAATTTCAAATATATTCCAATCTTCTCAATTTTTCGCTTTAGCAATAAATCTTCTAAACTTTTGGATGCAGTTTCAAAATTTTATAAAAGCTTATAGTCCTCAATCATTACATCTAAATTTAGTAGTTGTACTTACAGTTTTTAACATTAATAAGGTAAACGATTGACTGCTGTTATTAAACTAGTTCACAACTACTATTTTAGTCTATCGATTCCTAAATTAAGGTTGTTTATGTATTAAAGCAACCATCATCCACTTAGATTACACTTAAGGAGGTTGTAAACATCACTAATACTGGAGTAGTCCATAATCTTACATCGAACATACGTAAATATGAAAATAATCGGTCATGTACTGTATACCACCATAAGCGCAGGGAGAATATTTGTATTTATATTAGCAAAAGCTAAAATGCATATTTATGGCAAGATACGAATATTCTATCCACCGCAAAAACTCTGTATTACCCTTTGAATTTAAACGGACACATTCACTTTCTATCTAGTAATATTGTCACCGATTATAACTAGTGAAGGGCATTTAATATAATGGCATAAAGGTAAAGTAATGTACCATGGGGTTGAATTAATTATGCTTTTGTCCTATAAATCAAACCAGAGAGATTATTAGTCATTGAAATTCATGCTTAAGAGATCTTCTGTATGGTTTATTGCTTAATTCTTGTATCCAATACTGGCTAATATTGTTCTAAGATAGTTGGTATGACAATTATATGGAAGAATCATGACTGTAATGTCTAATATTTCTTTTCTTAATAGAAATCATCAATCAAAATGACTCAAGATATCGAATTGCAAATTATTCTTGATAAAGAACATGCAGAATATTCACCTGGTGAAGTAATAGAAGGTTCTATTAGAGTTCAATTGAGAAATACGATGAATGCTAGAGCTATTCGTCTTCGTTTTCGCGGAACTGCATGTACTCAAGTTTCAGATGGTGTTCAATCTCGAATATCAGTTAGAAGCAAGCCCTATATCTATAAAGAAGTGCAAGTCTACTTAGATACGACAATTTCCATTTGGGGTGAAGGTATTACTACTATTAAGAAAGGAATGCAGAGATGTAATTTCATCAATAAGTTAATTTTACAGCGTTCGATAGAAAAATTAGGAACTAAATAGTAATATTTTAAAATACTTTGCAAATTTTATACAAGTGAATTCTCAAGTTACTATATAGCTATATTTAATGAGTCTATTAAGAATAACATAAATTTACTTCGTTTAAAGCTAGTATCCCTGCGGGTCTGATTATAAATATTCGTTATTATTGCGCCTATCGAATATAATATTTATTTCTGTTCTCCTGCATAGAAGATAGCCAACCTCGAATCAGTAATTTAACACTACCAGAAGGCTCAAATGAATTCAAGTTTAGCTATCAATTACCAACCGATATTGCACTTCCAAGTTCACTTGAAGGTGGTAAAGATTGCTATATCCGCTATAATATGGTTGCAATTTTAGAAAATCCTCCCAATGATGATCATCAGCAGGAATTGGCTTTTCAGGTTACCCAGCAGGTTGATATTGGCCCAACATTACTAGTAAGTATCCATAGAAGATGAATAGGCAACTCCGACATCACATTATATCCTACTGTGTGATCCACATATGTTATACACTGTATACGTATGTTTTAATATTTCTGACTCTTGCGTGTATATTGATATTTAATTCAATCACGAAAAGGAAATATATTATACCTATGGATGATATCATCAACAGTGCCTATAACGATATCGGAAATGTTAAACACAGTCTCGCTAAATCATCCCAAAATTAACGTTTATAATTCTTTTTACTTAATAAGCAATCACCATCTCCACTTCAAAATGATATATCATTCTGCTGTTTCTGCTTTCGACCTGGACTCGTTAAGCTAAATGCAAGTATTGATCGGAGCGGTTATCGCCCAGGGGAGTCTATTTCACTAGATATTAAATGCCAAAATTTGTCCAATCGAACCATTCCATGTCTCCGAGTAAGATTTATCGGCTGTCTGGCTGTAGCAGCAGAAGGTAAAACTTTCAGTTTAATCTAAAATTGATTGTTGATATCTTAGCAAATTTATAAAAGCCACCAGCTAGAAATAAATTCTATATTTTTGAATTGATAGGCCATACCAAGACTATACGCACAATTATACAGGAGTTATATACAAAAAATGAAATTTCTCCCTGTCAGACTTATGAAAGCAGTAATCAGACTATTCCTATTCCGAGTACTCCTCCTACTAGTCAATCACTTGCATTAAATGTTAATGTAACCTATATATTTCAGGTAGAGAACTGATATCAATAAAGAAGCTTAATCTTTTGCTACAAGATTTAATAAATTATTATTTATGAATCTTTTAGGTAGCTGCTATTATTCCATTCTCTAAGGATCTACACGTCGATTTTCCTATCGTTATTGGGAGTAAATCTACTAATATGGAGAGTAGTAATATAGAAACTACCAATGAATCCAGAAAAGAAGGTAAGATATTTTTTTTAATTTCGTTTTAATTTTATTTATTTATTCGTGAAATGGTGTATAATTCATAGCGATGAAATCATTTATTAATTCTTTCTATTTACTATTCCATTTTTAGAAGCCATTGCTGCAATGGCACAGATTGCTTTAGTCGATTCTACTGCTGATGAATCCCTTGATATTGAAGACGATACCAGATGTCTGATAAATTCATAGCAAATAAGCTAATCCGAAGAACCTTTTAAGTAGTATCTAATCTGCCTATTCGTAAATGATTTGTAATGTACTCTTTTAACATTTATTATAGAATTAACGCTTACACGATATTGAATTCATACTTATTGTAGAGGAAGAATATTACGATTGGTAAATTTTACGGAACAATGCTTCTCATTTTTAATTGTAAATCAATAAATTACTCCTACTATTTTACTGTATACCACTTAATTTTACGCTTATAGCACGTATTAATGCTAGCCAATCAAGATTTTAATTTTTATAATATTTACAAGTTCACGTTTTTAAATTTTCCACTACTGCTGTTTTGTCTACAATCCTTTGTGGTTACATTCTGCATTTGAATATGAAATATTTATAAATTAAACATATACAGATTTCGCCTATCGATCGTTAGATTCCTGTGGATGTTTGTTCCCCTTGAAAGAGTAGTATTATATCATACAATGACATTAGGCATTTACTTACCATTCCTTTACTTTTGCGGCATCTAACGTCGTAAATAATATCTAGTCATTACCTCCTACCCACTACAATTAATCCAAATGTAATATACCTAAGATGGAGAAGCAATGCCATCTCTGCCTTGTTAACTAACGATAGTATCATTTATAATCGGTCTTGTAATTTGCCTAAAAGATACCTGGACAATTTAAGCTGATTGGAATTTCTAGTTCTATCTAGAAAGTACCTGTATGTTAAAGCATGGATAAGTTGTAACAATCTGTTAGTTATTACTAATAAATTAAAGTTCTTCTCGTGATGATTTTTCAAGTTCAGTAACGTAGCGTTCACGGATACTTGTATCCTGCGGTTGCATTTTAATAAAATTTCAGTTTACAACGGCGATTACTAAACGCTTCTTAAGTCATAAGCTAACACCACCAGTGTAACGATATTATCTGGTTGTGATTACTTTGTAACAGCAAGACTTAAATCAGTAATAATAGATTTTATCGTCACCAGCAGAAATATCAAGTAGATCATAGGAAAGCAACTTTTCGATCCTTTTATTAGACTTTAATTTGCATTAATATAGGCAGGGAGGTAATACGCAATTTATTAATAGATACCACGCATCTTTTTTTGGTAGTAAATACGAATACTCCCCAATTGCTGACTAGCACACAGTAAATATCCTATGTGGTGAGAAATTTATATAGAAATACCTTGAAACCTCTGATATTAATATAAATGTAATAATCTACAGATCTGAAGTAATATATGCAGGTATTCTAAACAAGATTACTTACAAAGATCATGAGTAGCTGATTAATTATTGATTTCAAATTATAAAAGTTAATTATCAAATCAATAAGTAAATATTAGACCATTCTATACATAATAATCTAGTATTCAATATCTGTCTGTATTGCGAAATAAAAATTTTGCGTTTAAACAAGATTGCACTGGTGCCAAGTATTTCAAATAAAAGATCATATATGCTTTGCTTTCATTTTTGATCTTGTGTTACCATCATGATTACTAAGAGAAAATTTTATAAAGGGATCTCACCCAGCAGTTAGCAATAAATTTTAATAATGTTTGATATCAGATATGAATAGAATTATCGCCGTCTTTGCGCGGCATATACAAAAAATCAGGGTAATAGTGGTCTTATTATAATTAATAATGTCACGAACAAAAAGTTTACAAGCAATCATTAAGCAAATATAAATCTGTCCAATTAAATTAACACTAAATAAAATTTGTCACATATTTGCGTTGAAATTTGTACTTAGAACTTATTACTACTGCAGATATCTTTATACAAGTAAAGATAACTTTGTATTATCCTAATTCTGGCATTATTCCTGTTGAGGTGCAACAGCCTAAGGGCAGAAAAACGTATCGATAAAGCTTTCAAATTATATAGTGCACTATAATATATCATCATGCAACTGACCGTTCGAAAATCTTCCAACGCTTTATATTTTGACAAAGCAACCTCTAGCTCAGGCATTGTATGATACTTTCGACTTCCCTATGATTTACGTAAAATGTTCATAGAAGGATAAAGTACTCGAAAATTGCATACCTAGGTGTAAAACAACTACACTTACCTTATAGTATTTACGGAATGCCCAATACTTTTCTAAACCATAGAGATTGCCTACAGACCCGAAATACACACACATGTGGAAAATAATTTAATCATCATTATAAACTAATTATATTTCGGTAATTTTGCATAGAAATTGACTATATTATTGTTATTATAGTACCAGAATTATAATCTTGAAGTGTTTCTTTTTGAAAATCTTGCATAAGATCGCTACGAAATTTCTTTTCAAGGCCATAGCTGTAAAATCGGAAAAGACATTCGATGCCATATCTATTCGAATGAAATAAAAGCAACAATTAAATCGGGTTATAAATTCAGATATCCAAATGTTAACCAAAACCAAAATTTCGATTTAGATCGATATTCTCGTAAATAAAATAGTATTTAGAGATAATTTAAATACCTATAACTAGCTTTGCTGTCCTCGACTGCATACTGTTTGAATTCTTCGTACATATTTCTAGGGGAATAATTAGGTTACGATTTTATTTAATTTCACAATACTGGGATAGGTTTAATAGAAGGATTATTAATAGTATGGTAATAAACCTATTGAAATGTGATCGCAAAAAGAAAGACCAAAATCTGAATAGCGTATTCATTTCCTGAGACTGACCAATTCCGAGTTTCTGTCGCTCTGTTTAGTTTATAATGAACGCACGAATACGAATGATAAAAAGTTATGCTGAGCTGCCAAGATTTCCTTGCATGGAATATGCAATTGCAAATGTCAATATGAATATACTACTTACCTTTAAGACACTTCACTCTAAACTTTGAATAAGCTAACTTAGTAAAGCCGCTATCTTTAAGCATTTCGTGTGAAGGATGCTGAAATTTAGGAATTGATCGTGGTGTACCATATGAGCTTGAATAACTACTCTCACCAGCTACTAGTTCGTTTGTGGCATCGCTCATTCTAGCGAGAATACATTTACGATTGGTAAAATTTAAATAAATAATTGTATTACGGGAAATAATTATATAGTACGGAAAATGTTGTTATGAATATTTAATATTTACTCTGAACTTTTAGAACCATAGGATTCAGCTCCCATCACCCAGCCAACATGGCTTTCAACTGGAGGATTGCGACTGTATTTCGTTTTCTGTTTGTTTGTTGCCTATCGATATTGTTGGTATATATTTAGCAGCTACTTTAACGATTACGAGTTGAGTAATGAAAATATTATTATTACAGCAAAACTTATCATTTACTACCTTCTTCGCCATCGATTGCGATTTATTCGGTAACGGGTAAAACCTTGCCTCTACTTTATCGTATGACTTATTCGTTCTCTGTTTGTCTCCACTTGCACCTTTACCGATGACTATAGCATCGGTCTTTTTATTACCTTTGGAAGCTGCTCGTTGTCTCTTCTCTTGACTTTTACCTTCACTTTTGCTGCTATCTTTGCTATCCTGATCTTTATCAACATAAAACGAAGGAAAATCTTCCTGGACGTTAGGTTTTCGATAGGAATCACTATTATGTAATTGACTTTCAAATTCTTTAGATGAAATTACATCTACTTTTTTGAAGCAGCTTGAAACTTCATTCTAAATTAGACATAGGAGCAATTAGCCATAAAAACATATAGTAAATGCATACATACTAGCAGTTCCGTAATCAACTCTGATAAACTGATGTTAAAAGTACCTTGTAACCTGCACCTATCTGCAAGTCCTAATTAAATTTCAAAGGGCAATTATTAGACGTTGTAAATGAAGATTTGCACCTTAAGGAAACGAAAGGAACATTGAAAGCAGAAAAGAATAGCTACTAACTTGTTCGTAATAATATAACCCTTCATTGATAATTTCAGCATGCTGTTCCGTCATTTTATTTCTAGAAGTAAAGACACCAGTTCGATCACCACTAGGGTGCTTCTTACTTATATATGGCGTCTGCGTAATTATTATGATTTTCTGCACATCACCATCATCAAATTCTTCATCTGAGTCGTCAGACCTATAAGGAAGATTGTGCAGTTCATTGGATTTAATTGAACAAATAAATATTACAATACAGCACTTTAAATATACCACGATAGCAAGATACAATGAAAAAAAGCATAAGCAGATAGTACCACTCAGAAAATGTTTTCTTTCTCCCACCAAACTGTAGCTCCTCTTCCAAGTCAAATTCTAATTCTCTATCATAGTTGCTACCTTGATAGGTTTGACTTGTGAATTTTTCACCATATTTCTTTATTATAAATATACATAAATTTTAATTTTTGCAAGGAATTGAAAATTATAAAGACTCCTACTAAGTACAGTATTATCAATAGGACATGATCAAAAACCTTGCTTGGCTTCGTATTTTGCCACTTTTTTCTTCTTACTTCTTGCCATTTTTCTGTATGCACTGAGCTTCCTATAGAATATTACAGAATAATATCGATAGACAGCAATGAATTAAAATTTTATTCCTGTCGACTTTGACGCATACCATGGGAAATGTTTAACATTATTATGACTAATTACATTTATACAAGTGTACTTGTAAACAAATTTTAAAATCAGATACAATCAAAGTGGCGTCGCAATATAGAATAGGATTAACGAGAATATACCAATCAAACTTATTATAAATTTGGTAAAATAATATATGAAATAGTCCCATCAGTAAAACTTAGACAAAGTGGTTTAATTACCATAATTTGATTTCTGTACGGAAGCTGTAGTAGATACACTCTCCTCTGTTAGATTTTAGATACATAACGGGTATAATATAACGTGCAAACGAATAATTAATAATAGCCAATACGGTTACATACTGTGCCATTGAATAACTAATTAACAAGCCACATGTTATATTTATACATGTATCAGACGGAAAGACAGTGAAACTTTGCTGGTAGCAATTGTATTACTCATATACGTAGCTTGCTTGTCATACCTTGCGTTCTAGTTGTTTTCGTTTTTTCTTCATGAGTGTCTAGCAGATATAACGTATTCAATGAAAGAGTTACCAACAATCATCAAATGTTGATAAATTTATCAAAAAGCACATTGATGCAACAGGTCATACTATGCTGACTTCATAAGCAAGTAGCCGCACTGTTTTATTAGAAAAGCTACAAGTGTATATTGTTAATTAGGGCCTATAACATAAACAACGAAGACTATAATTACCTTTCACAGTTTTAAAAGTATCAGCCTTTTCCGATTCATTATCGGCAGTAAGGTCAGGGTCTACAAAGAAATTGGAAGAATCGTAAATACAAGAAAAAATTTTGAAATATTTATGATCACTAAAGGCTCAAATCCAATATGGGAAAATTTAATTATAAAATTTTATCTGGATACTCATGCCATATAATCCCATTTGGTTAAATATCAATGCAACCTTACTAAATTGCTTTGAATCAAATTTGAAATCATGCTATAATCTATTGTTTTCTTAACTGCTTCGTACTGATATACTAAAGTATTTGAAGGTTGACCTCTAGATTTCATTTAGCAAGTTAGATTCCTTGACAGACCATAGTACTTAGGATTGATAGCAAGTCACCATATAATTAACACATTGTTGTAGCTACAGAAAAAATTCGGTTCTACCTTTCTGATTTTTCTCCGCTTCAGGTAATGGCGGATTCGTTTGAGCGACCTGAGGCATACTACTACCTGAAATTAAGTACGTATAAATCGCTCAATCATACTTTAGCAGCTATCACTGTCTGATTTTTTTCGCCAAAAGGTTTCTAACTTAATAACAAATAATTTAGCTATGTATCTCGTATATCTATCTATACATTGGAATAAATAAATGGTAAGCTGCAAATACACATCTATGCGTGTATATGTACACTGTACATTACCCTTATTAAAACTACAGTATCGTACTTAGCCTAATTAAAAATTGTATAGTATCGAAAGAAGACAAAGCAGACGTATTAAAGTATTAATACAATTGCTTAGATTAGCTCCAGAAGAGTAATCTGACCTTCAAAATTAGCTCCACTTTCACCCTTTGATTTTCTCGTAACATTAGACTGACTCTCCTCTGTAATGAATTTAAATAGTAACTGTTAATCATCTTCTATCCTGAACTAGTTCCGGGACTTATCATTTTAATAATATACTTAACCAGCGTAAACTAAGCATCTAGTAATAATGACATGCAAATACAACAAGATACAGAATAACCACAAAGATAAAACAAGCAACTGATGGTTAAGAAGCAAAAGCTTTTAATTGATGAGTGGTCATGCTAAATGTATGCAGATTACTCGTAAATATATATATATATATATATATATATTTATATATGTATGATATATTTTATGTTTGTATACAGGAGCAACAACAAGTGTGAACCACTAACAATCTACCTTGTAATAAATCATCGCTTAACTAAATCGTTATCAACTACCGTAGTAACAAAATAAGCAAAAACAATACCATAACTAAATCAATCTACTCGTAACTGTGAGCTATATTTTAAGGTTACAATAGTAGCAAATTGATATCATTACTGCGCTGTGATAATATACATGATACATTTCATGATCAGTTATTAATAATTATTTAGTAAGGTTGATACCCTTAACTTAAAAATGAAAAATCGATCAACGGATATACTGCACGATATCATAGTAAACTTAAAACATCTTTCTGATTAAATGGGCTTAGCAGATAAGTATTAGTACACCAATTTGTTTTAATATTTAGTAGCAAAAGAAGTACTGTATTACAGCACTATACCGTATTAGTTCTTCATTATGATCACAGTTAATTTTCTACTAATGTCAGCAGCATACAACTTAGATTAAGCACTGACATATTAACTACACATTTAAAGATTAGCGAAACTTATTGGGATGAGCTTTGCTAAAATACGGAATATAATTATAATAATAATAAGTATTGGCTACTTACTAGTTAGGGATGCCTGTAGGAACTTAGTAATATACAATGTTGGATATTACCGTGCAAATACCCACTTGCACGAGTTAAAGAACAAAACTAGCAAGCTACTTTAATTACATGACGTCTATTTGTCAGCCTTATTATCAACAGCGTAGGTATTACTAAAGGTTAGACGTTGGTAAATTTTTGCTAAAACGCAAACTTTGACAATGCACGCCAAACTGGTAGACATTTAAGTCATTCCATGAATTATCCAACAATGACAAAGTATCAACGCTTACCATAACGTAATAGAGTTACTGTTGAAAACGGTAAAACTACCGATACACATTGATGTGATAACTCATTCATTACATATATTTTTTTGTGAAGTATATATAAATTACAAACAAAAAGGCAAACACGTTATATGGCATACAACAGATTATATCATAAAAAATACTATGGCACTTGACAATTTATTTCTTTAGGTTGAAGTCAAGTGTTGTACTGTATCTTATTCAATCATTGCATTGGTCAATGGCGTTTGGTACCATATATTTTAAAATAAATGTTTCTTCTAAAGTCGGTCAGTTTAACCTATCGCAAAGGTATTATCTTGTGAAGCTATCGATTTCTTGATCGATAGTACCAACAAATTTAAGTACAGCTAATTACTGAACTTCTTTTCAAAATAAAAGATTCTTTATAATTTCACTTGATTCCCGTGTAAATTCAAGACTATATACAGTACCACGGCGTTTACACTTCAAACTACTCAATTTGTTTGCGTCGTATCATTGTAAATTATTCATAATTTTTATGATAATACTTTCAAGAGATTTTATACTCGTTCTTGCGAATTAGTATCAATATAATGGCGACGAAAGTTCAGTATGACAAATCGACGTTTTTCTTATTTTTTCGCAGGGTTATATTACTGTGCAATACCTTGCACTTGTTCTTGACGAGGAGTAGTATTTTCCCATAACGGCCGATTAGCTTCCGGTATCGCACCTTCCGGTTGCATTGGCCACTTTTTCGGGTCAATTCGACACCGTAGTTGATCACCTATTACTTCCACGACTTCGCTGTCACTTACGGCCTAAGCAAAATGAAAAGGTAGCAGAGATAAGATTGAGATTATCTACAGTAAAATCGCTGTGAATACACTATACACTACTGTATTACGGTAAATAGTATGAAATTAATTGATTATAAATCAAGTAAAGTTAAAAAAATATTTGCCGAGTCAACAGAACAACGTTAAGTACGCATTATATTCATATCCTTACATTGACAATAGCGTTGACATCTTTCGTTAATTTTTGCATTCTGTAAAATACAGCAATTGTTTTTGCAGGGATGAAACCATCTGCATTCATTTGACGGCGCAAGTAAAAATCTTTTAAAAGATTTTCTTGGCTAAAGTAGTATTCACTACAAATGAAATAAAAACAAGTCAAATGGAGATCTAGATAATTATAATTATTACGAACTTACTATAAAATCGAATATATCAGTATACCAAAACTAACGTTATAAATATCTTTATGAAGTGTTACGCATTCAAGTGATACCATTAGGTAATAAGAATAATAATTTAATCCATGCTTTTTTAATTTCAATTAAATATCTACATATGGCGGCAATACAGTATTCTATTACACACTAATAATAATGTCTTCATCACACTCCTGTACTTTGCCAAATAACGTACCAAAATTTACTAAATTCTATATACCACAAAGATAGTACTATATAAATTCATGCTACATTGTATTATTAATAAGATGACCAATGGGATCTTACATTTGTTTTCGAATAGCATCCTTTAAAGCCATTTGATCCGATTGTATTACAGGTTGATATAGAGATGGATTATAAAGAGCAGCTTGTTGATTATAAAACGTTTGCTGATAAATGTTATAATTAGGATAAATTGTTCCCATAGCTGCTGCAGTAGCCGCCATAGTTTGCGGTTGAGGCATCATATTATTGACTGTGGGATACATGTAAGGAGGCTGATGTTGCCTTGGATATCCTTGATGATTATTTTCAACTAATGATAAAAAAGTGTTCATTTACATATTATGAAATCGAAAGCCGATAGTGAGTCAATTTACACATTTAATTAATACTCACCTCTATTATTGCCACCACGATTTCTATTTTTATTATTTCCACGGGCTCGAGTTCCCCTATTACGATTATTACTATTCCTATGATGGTGATTACCACCATGACCAGATACACCATGATTTGAATGTCTGCCATGGCCTCTTGGATGACTTCCAAACTGTCTGTCATCATGTTCATTTGTTCTCTGATGATGGAGTACAGGATCAATCTCCAGAGGGACCCACTTTTTGGCTGATGGGGTATCAAACAATACAGTTAACGCAACAATTACTACAACTGTAATTGATGAATATTTGACTAATGCATCTAGTGGCTAAAAAATAGTCATTAATCTAAGATTTACATGTCTACCGTAAGTACTACTGTAGAATATTATATCTGTTGTAAGAAATGGGCAATATTATCAATAGAAATTGTCATCCAATGAACAACATCAATCCCACAAGGTAGGCATTTAATGCTTAAGAACTATACACTTACTCTTCTTTTTCCCAACTTTCTGGCTGCTTTCTTCAGCTGTTGGTGATGCTTGTATTGGGTTTTCTTCTTGTTGATCTTTTGTAATTTTAACGGATGCAGTTGCGTTATCTCCAGCATTAGCAGGAATATTATTTGGTATCTGGATATTACGAAATGAATAATTTTTCATTAGTCTTGCAAAATTTCCACGAGACTTTAGATACGCTGTAAAGTGCATTCTATCATACATTATTTCAGAAAAATGATGATAAAGCATGACAAGTCAAGATATCGTACAAGATTTTACAGGGGTTAACATTTAAAACTTTCAGAAGCTACTTTCAAACCCGTCTGATGGTAATTATAATCATTCGGTTAAAGTCATAAGGTAAAAACTAAATCGATCCTGTTAAAAATGATCTTTCAATTATATTATTATCCAATATCAATCTCAACGGAAAGGTGCCAAGCTCCGACCAAGATCAACACCTTATTGCATGATTAACAATTTTATAGTTGATTATTATTGTTATTATTACGTCAACCGATAGGTTATTATGACATGAATACATCCGATGAATTTTGTCCTTGGCATCGATACCACTACCTAATTCATAAAAAACGAAAGCGATCATAGAACGCAAACTGTTGGCAAATAGTGGAAGAGATGTTGCAACCATTACAGAAATGTACCAATGCCATGTATTCCATATGATAAGACGATAAGTTGAGAAACGACATCGATTTATCACTGTATTGACTCAAGACCAGGAAGTGATAGGAATGGGAATCGAATACGTAAGAGTCGGTAACGAGGAAGTACAACATACTCTACTCGACTCCATCTATTTTCCATGCCCTTCTCGCCTTCCAGTATTCTATTCTAATCACGTGCTTTCAACGGGGGCGTAAGCAAATAAAACGACAGAACTACTAGTGGAAAGCCATTATTTTTTGCATCACTCCTTCACTATCCGATATAACGTCTGGCAATGTAAACACAGCAGCGTATCAAGAGAAAAGTTGTATTTCTGAATAAGCGATGTCGTACTTTTATCGGTTCTATCGTTACTTTGAGTGACAACCATTTCTACGAGTTCCTTATTGTTCAAAGTTGTCCGTCAAAGAGTTAGCGAACTGTTCCGGCTAGCAGACAGTCCTATACTGGAAGTTAATGTCAAGGATTTATTCCTTTTCCATCTACGATACCACAATATTCACTGTAGCATTAATGCTGCATCATTTAGGCATTTTAGTACGAGTTGATGAAGTCTTGTGCCTTTTCCACGAGAACTTTTTGCTTTACAGGCGTTTGCCCAAGCCTACATGGATTGATTGCCTTTAGTATGAAAAAAATGGGACTGCCCTGTACGGTATACAGTACAATGGAAAGTGTGGAACATAGCACGCGTGGAATTTTCAGACATGCTGTACCAAACCGGCTGGCTAGTCCAGTGGCAGTTACAGTACCATGCCCGCTAGAATAATTGTATGTACTGTAAGGTGCAAATGAGCAATGACATGCGTTGTCGACTCCTTTAGCTCTCATACAGAACTAGTGTATCAGGGTACCCGTACAAGGGTGCATCCAATTCAACATGATCAACCCACTTTTTTGGTAGTACCGTAGCTTGGGAGACTGTAATCTACAGTACTGTACTGTAGATTGGGACCGGACCACATGAGTACTGTTTGCATGACAGAGAGAGGAGTGGTCTCATGCCTATACAGACTACGTACGATCTCGATCTTGTATGCGCATAGTAACATACTGTATAATGTACTATGCATGAATGAAAAAATGATGAAACATAGTTACCAGTAAAAAAAAAATGGCCATTTCATGACTCAATAATGAATAAATTCGCTCCAATAGAGAGCAATCATTCGCTCGAGCTAACCTGATTAGGACCTTGGGTTGCTGCTGTTTCACTTGGAGTCGGCCAATTTTCTACATCAACTAAATTAGCCTGTTTAAAAACAAAATGATAACATAAGTTACTGTGTACTGTCAGAAAGAATACTCCCGCGAGATACCACAATCGTATGATCCATTCTGCCGTATTTATAATCATTGTAAGAAATAGTACTAAATCAATGCTAAAAACACTTTCACTGGTAATCAAACTAAAAAAAGCATATCCAACTAGGTAATAAAGTTAGTGCTATAATAGAACTAAATCCAAAGATGCCACCGTTATCAAGGACACAAGAGACAGAATGTAAGAATGAAATGAATCAATCGAGTGCACGACTACTGTACCACACTATACAGTACTCAACCTATAGAATGCATTCAAATCTTCAACGAATAAAGCCAAGGAAATCCGATGCAATTACATACCTTTGACGGTTTCTGTTGCCGACTAGTCTCTTTAACGCTAGGACCATTACTAGCTATTGGAGTAGTATTGGCTGAGCTACGCTTTTCAGTATCTAAAATCAATCGTAGAAATTGGAAGATTGAATTTTTGAAGCTATCTATTTCATTACCAAATGATTACGGGGAAATAGCCATGCACTTTCAATGACTACAGATACGCAGCGTAGACTACTGCATTAACGTTCACTGAGTAATAAATCAAATACAGTACCTTGAGATGATAAGAATATAGCAAATGTGTATTATTAACGTGATCGAAGATCATGCATTACTGTACGCTGACTTAATCGATAGAAACTATAAATAAAAGGAATGAGGATGCCAAAATGGATTCTATAACATCATTGATGCAGACTGAATTTACTTGTTCAACTGAGGTCACACAGAATCCAATAAAACTTGATATCATGTAATAGCCTACACAAAGACATTGTCAACTTACGTCCAACTTCATTTGTTGGAGACGGCTTTTGCCATGGATTTTTACCAGAATTCTCGCTATCCGAGGCTGCCTTCTTTGGTAAACGTTTTCCTTCATCATGTTCGCCTTCTGGAGTTACAGTTTCATTTGGCTTGCTAACTCCATCGTTCTCTTTGGAGTTCTTCGACTCCTTGTCAACCAATTTGATTTCATCTACCTTATTGGCCAGTTCCGCTTCCATATTCGAGTACTACCACACTTGTAGCTTGCAAGGTAATCAGTGATCGCTGAACTTTTGACAATGGCGTGAAATGAATATTTCACAAGTCCGGCAGGAACCAAGAGTTAGGGGATATTTTGTGCTAGACTAAGCAAAGTCTAAACTAATAATCCCTCTTCTGCCCAATTAGGGGACACCGCAAAGCAACTATAGATCGCACAGTAGCTAACTGGAGAAGCTTTGGTGAAGTTCAATTGAAACTTGTCTAAACGACAGATTTTGATCACCGATAAGACGACCCTTTTCTTGAGTATTCTTTGTGTTAATCTTGAAAAGGTCAGTATAACTATTGGATAATGAGATACCAGATACGTTATTGCAATCTGATATTTGTGTAAAACTCCACTGTTGAAGCTTCAAGGCGAAAAGATACGAAGACACTTTCAATAGGTCAGTCAATGGCGTGGCGATTCAACGTCACTGGTGAATGAAAAATTTTTTCCGGTCAAATGACTGCTTTGCTTTAAAACCACGAGGATAGAGATTCTATTGATACTATCGTATACGTGAGGTTGTCGACTACAGTACCGATGGTCGCTAGTCCGAAGCTCAGAAAATTCAAAGTCAATGCTTGTAGGCCAAATTGAATTTTCTTAGCTACCGATTGAAGACATTAACCAACTGTCAGCTAGGCAAATATCACGCTAAATGCGCTATCCAACTCTTCAGCCAAGAAGAAACACCAAATAGAAGCAAATGACTGATTTCCAGTGCAACAAGTGACGCGTTTGGATGACTTCACTCGTAGCACATGGGCTCGTTCCTTTTCAACCGGTGACGAA